GTGATGTCAAATTGGTTTGAACCGCAGCCAAAGATATACAAGAAAAGTAGCGCTGTCTGCGACAAGTATCAGGAAAATGGACGGTTTCCTGATGGAGCACTTGACCGTAGAGGTTATGTTAGCGAGGAGGCGTAAGAAAGAAGAGGAAGCCCGTGCGGCTAATGAGCGAAGAATCAAACGCCGGGCAGCTGTGCAGGCGAAGCGCAAGAGATTGACTGATGAAAAACAGAGGAAGATTGCTGACGCGCAAGCGGCGCGGATGAAGGTAGCTGATGAAAAGAAGAAAAAGATGGCAGAACGGGATGCAGCCAGGTTAAAAAGGATAGAGAAGAAGCAAAGGACGGAGACGGGGAGGGCGACGAAACGTCCTGGATTTGTGGAAGAGGAATCGGGCTTCTAGGGGCAGAAGGCTATGATGAAGAGAAATGCGCCAGCGGAACAAACAGCTGGTCTTAAACCAATGTCAGAAGGGACAGTGGTGCAAATGGATGCCACCGACTGCGTCAATAAGTTGGTTGGAAGCGGGTTGGAGGGGAAATAAAGGTCTGTCCGGAATTCAACTGTAAATGTCTCACATGTCAATTTGGGCGCTGGCCACTACTGTAGGAGAGTGTCCTCAAACACAGGCGTTCTGCAGTCCGGCGACTGAAGTTTCCTAGAAAACAGCCTCCCAGATCGATTGATGCTAGTTAGAACAGCGAAAATCCGCAGCAAAGTATTTTTTTCGAAGATTGTTTGAAAAGTGTCCGGGATTAGCCTTTTGGGGAAGGGTAGACGCCGCCGCCGCCGACGCCGTCTTTCTCGCCGGCCGTACTCCCCCTACTTTGTAGTCTCCAGCGACCAATACACTGCTCGCCCACGTCCGCCACATGTGCGCGTCCCGCCTCGCCGAATGGCGACTCGATCTCCCCTCGATACGCATTGTGCCACGCGAATCTGTCGCGTGGCACGCATGCCTGCCCTGTCAGAGCCCGTCCCAACACAGCATATCACATCAGTGGCAATCGCGCAGAGCCTCCTGATTGGTTGCTGCTGATACAAATATTAACATGGCAGTCTTAGTAAGAGGTAGTACGCGCCCTTTCTCCTGGAGTGTAAGCCTCACAGAAAGGCAATTTCATTGGACAACAAATAGATTGAGACAACTCAAAAGCAAGCGACCACAGTAAAAAAGGTCTCAAACGCGCTGAACAGAGTCAGTAAAATGCCCAGCGGAAAGTGGGAATGATCTCCCCAACATCACGCTATCATCCGTGCAACAAACCGTCTCCCGTCTAGCACCACTTTTTGTCAACTCCACCTCCATATTATCTCCAGCACTCCTGGATGCCATATCCCCCTTCACACCCTTTTTCAACCGAATATCGCTGGCGCATATCCCACCTCATGAATAGAGACGAAATCACGTCTTCTCCGGGAAAGACGAGGTCCTCGGGATCTGAAGAGTTGGCCCTAATCGTCCCACCTTTTGACTTGGAATTTGCCTCCCTTTCAGAAGACGAAGATCATATAAGCCCGATACCGATTCAGCCAGCACCGCAAATCTATCCTTCACAAACCCCAATCAAAAAAGTGAATTGGACGTTCTTATCTGTAACTTCAATTTATACCGATGAGGAGTTTTCCGGCGCATTCCGAATGTCTTGTCCCATCTTCGCGAAATTGTTGCGACTTATTCAGTGTAAAATTCAGAAAAACATTGAGATGGGTCAAAGGTCAAAGAGAACAACCGTCATGCCAGATATGCGCCTCGGAATCACCCTACGCCTACTAGCTGGAGCAGATATGTGGGACCTCATATCAAGCTACCACGTGAGGAAATCTACTATCCACAGAATTTTTGAGGACACTGTAAGTGTGCTAAATGTGGTCCTCCGGCTTCCTGGACTGCTGAAAACAAGAGGAGATCTCTATACATCATCAATCGCTTTCAAAACCTCAAGAAAAACACTTAGTCCGTTGGACGGGTGTGTCGGGGCTCTAGATGGTCTTGCAGTTAAAATCACTAAACCAAGGGAGGAAGAAAACCCCGCGTCGTACTACAACAGAAAAGAGTTTTACGGCCTTTGTGTGCAAGCTATGGTGGACTCCAATTATCGTTTTCTGACATACTCCTGTCGCTGCGTGAGTTCGACTCATGACTCGCTCAGTCATGAGACCTCAAGTTTAGGAAGATATCTTCAGGAGGGCCGTTTGTGCGAAGAATTTTGGATAGCCGCTGACGAAGCATATTTGTGCACTGGAACTGTCATAACACCTGTACCAAGCTCGCAGGTTACAGAGACAGAAGATGCGTTCAATTTCTACCACTCGTCACTACGAATGCACGTACAGCAGGCGTTTGGGATTTTAGTAGCCAAATGGGGCATTTTGCAAAGGCCCTTGCGTTTCGCAGTACGGAAGTCATCACGAATTGTGTGCACTGCCATGAAGATACACAATTTCGTTGTCGATGAAGGCGGTTCGAGGCGAGAAGGTATGACAGCAGTGGAGTTTAGACAGGTTTACACAGAAAGCTTGAGGTGGCACAGACAAATGACGCGGTCAGCAAACACAGGAGGGGAAACAGGACGAAGAATGGCGGGTTCGAGAAAACGTGACAGTCTCATAGATCTGGTAAAGGCAAAACGATTGGAACGACCTCCTGTACGCCAACGCCACAAATAAATATTCGTCCCCCTCTACAAGTAGTGCTGCAATTGGATTATTCGAAATGGTTGACGTGGGAAGCTATAGAAGGTCATGGCCTTCTAGACAAGGTCGGGCGCTGGCGATACTGAGGAAGGGACAGGAACAGAAATGGAACGAGGTACGCAAGGAGAAAAGTTGAAAGATGGGAATGGAGTGGGAAACGGGAAGCTGGGGTTGAGTAAGGTGAGATGGAGCTGGAGTTCAGGACGGGGAGCTGAGACTGTGGGGATGGCGAGGGAAGCAAGAAGCTGCAGTTGGTGAGGGAGCCAGGATGCTGGAGATGGTGAGAGAGAACTAAAGCCGAAGATGGAAAGGGAGGGACGACTCTGGGGATGGTCAGGGAGAAAGAGAGCTGAGAATGGTGAGGGAGGGGGGAGACTACAGTTGGTGAGGGAGGTAAGAAGCTACATTTAATGAGGAAGATAGAAAGCTGGGGATGGGAAGGGAGGGACGAATCTGGGGATGTGAAGGGAGGGACGACTCTGGGGATGGTCAGGGAGATAGAGAGCTGCAAATGGCGAGAGAGGCAGAAAGGGGCGGATGGGGAGGAAAGGAAAAAGCTGCGGTTGGTGAGGGAGCGAGGATGCTGGAGATGGTGAGAGAGAACTAATGCCGAAGATGGGAAGGGAGGGACGACTCTAGGGATGGTCAGGGAGAAAGGGAGCTGAGAATAGTGAGAGAGGGGGAAGACTACAGTTGGTGAGGGAGATAAGAAGCTGCGTTTCATGAGGGAGATGGCAAGCGGAGAATGGGAAGGTAGGGACGACTCTGGGAACGTTCCGGGAGAAAGAGAGCTGCAGATAAAAAGGGAGGCAGGAAGCGGCGGTTTTTGAAGGAGAGGGGAGGCTGAGAATGGTGAGGGAGGGGGGAGCTGCAGTTGGTGAGGGAGGTAAGAAGCTGCGTTTTGTGAGGGCGATGGCAAGCTGAGGATGGGAAGGGAGGGACGACTCTGGGGATGTGAAGAGAGTTAGGAAGCTGGAGCTAGTGAGGTAGAGAGAGACAGAGAAAGAGAGAGAGAGAGACAGAGAAAGAGAGACAGACGGAGAGACAGAGAGACGGAGTAAGTGAGATATGGGAATGGTGGGAGAGGAGGAGAGAGGAGGAGTTTGCAAGTGGGGACGCACGAGTGGATGTTGATGATTATTCGATTTGTTGCTACAGTAGTTTGAAGGACCCACTCTATTTGTACATTTTATACATCTCATTGTTTGTGCTGACCTTCTGCTTTAATGTAATTAGCCTAAAATATATATCTTAAGGTCTTCAATATATACTATTAATGTCTTTCACGTGGGCACCTCGCAGTGACCAATCATATGGCCTAACTTGATATCGGAAAGAAAGGCATGGCTATGTTGGGACGGGCTCTCAGTAGGCTAGCGTCTCACATACAGTGCAATACGGCAAGTGGGCGACTCCTGAAATTCTAAAATCGCAAATTGCGTTGACCAAATCGGGATTTTGTGACACACAAACGGCGCGTTGTGCACACACAACGCGCCGTTTTCTCGGACGGGCGACCCCATGCTAGGTTAAATGTATATCGCACAAATGTCAAAATGTGCGCGCGTACAATCCAAATTTACTGTACACAGAGAAAGCGTCGGCCGCCGCCCGACCGACGAGACTCGACATCTACATCCTACCGAGCATGGCTCTGAATGAGAAGTAGCAATAGAATAGCCATTTGGTCATTCATGGTTCTGACGGTGGCTGCTCGGTGAAAACACCATCATGATTGAGCTTAGCTCACAGCACACACTGTAGATAGAGCTCCGACGGCGTCATCGCCGGCGTCCGGTGCCGTGCTCGTCGTTAGGAACGAGTTCAAAGCATGCGTACAGTAGGGGGACGCACATTATGTGCGCAAGCATTTCCGTGGTAAAACTCATTTTTTGTTCACAAAAAAGAAAAATATGACTCTGACACAAAAAATAATTTCCGGAGGCGCCCAGTAACGGCGCCCGCCACGCAGCTAGGGCCGCCGGGCTGTGCCCTCGGAGGGCCGCTAGATGCCTGCCACTGTGCCCCGCCCAGCCGACGTCGGCGTCCGCCCCGGCCCTTCCCTTCGGCGCTTGCCGGCAGCCACAGCCCTTTGCGCCCCACATCACTTTCAGGAGAACACCTCGACGGAGTGTAACCAACCGCGATGCTTTGCAAGCTATGCGCCCGCCGCAGTGTCCCCCATGTCTACGAACCAGGCACGCTGACGCAGGACCCTAACTGCTTGCCCTTAACACGGCCGGAGCCCCCTCCGCGCGCCCCTTTTCTACTGTCGAACCACATGCCTGGCTGAATTTGTGCGACCCTTACCCTCGTTTCGCTTCTGCCAATACCCGCGTACCAAAGCGCGATATGTAGGGCGCCTGGTCCAGAACCAACTTATGCATACTGTACAATAGCATCTTATCTCGCATCCTATCTAATATCCCGGACATCTCCCATCCGGAGTGAATTGATCTTGATGCCCTAACACCACAGAGTGAGCATTCATTTGTGACATGCTTTGCTACTTGGGATTCTCCAAAGCTCTCTGCTCGCCCAGATCGAAAGAGCCAGCAATGCCTTGCTGGCATCTGACGTCAAAGTCAGCGAGTGGTTGCATCCCAACTCCCGAGCCTCGTGGCACTGCATCTTCTGTAACACGACGCGCCTGCAAACAGATGCACAAATCAAAGACCTCATGCTTCTCTGTGGGAAGCTCTCTGTCTGGAGCCCGTAAGCAGAGCGCACGTCGTATGTTCTATAAAGCAATCTCATGACAAGATGTCACCGTCCATCACCTTTCACCGGTGCAACCACGAATTGCACAGCCCCAACTCATCATGCATCTCATTTCAACCTTCACCCTTGTAGCCCTATTCTTCACCTCCGTATCTGGCCAAACCCTCCCTTCCGCTCCCGCAAGGCTCAGACCCCGAGACTGTGGCCCTGGTACCTTCTTCCAGCGCGGTCGCTGCAAGGACTGCCCTCTGGGAACCTTTCAGATATCGGCGGGTGCTACTTCTTGTACCCCATGTCCTCCGGGTACTTTTGGTACCGTCGCAGGCGCGCAAGGCTTGGATGTATGCCAATTATGTCCGGACGGAACGTTCAGCACACGTGAAGCGGCCACAAGTCGCTCTACTTGCCGTCCTTGCCGCAAGGGGTCCAACTCTTTCGAGGGGTCGTCGTTTTGCACTTCATGTCCGAAAGATACGGTTATAGACTTCGACAACCGAAGGAGGTGCGAGTTCTGTGGAAATGGCGGCTTTACAGTTGCACGAGGAGCGAATGAATGCATGGATTGCAGTTTCATCGACAATGGGCGAGACAATTTGCGATTTGTTGGACGTCGAGGAACTGGGCGATGTGAATCATGTCCTCGTGGAACAGCGGGAGAGTTTAGGAGATGCGCGCCATGTAATGGAACCGAAAGGGCATTCAATGATGGCACATTCACTGGATGCCGCCAATGTCTACCGGGTTTCAGGGGAGTTCCCGTGCAAAGGGCCGCGCGCTGTGCTCCCTGTCCAAAAGGTACCGCAGCTTCCGCTGACGATGATCCGTTTGGGCCCTTTACAGCCTGTCCAAAGTGCAAAGCCGGAGAGAATTCCAATGCGACCGGAGCTCTCATTTGTGTTCCAGACAACACCCCTTGTCCTGCGAACTACTTTCGAAACAAACAAGGTGGATGTGCTCGATGCAACAGGTCACAGCGATACGACCCGAGGCGAAGAACTTGCGTGCCATGCGGAAAGAACCAGGAGAGCGGCGGTAGTTTGTCGACAAAGTGTACTCCATGCAAAGGGGCAGCTGTGAGTGGTGACGACGGATGTGAATGCCCTGAAGGCAGCGAGCTGACGCTCGACGGAGGGTGTCGCCTGTGCCCACCTGGCACTACCACTGAGTCTCTAGGAAAGAAATGCACCCCGTGCCGCGCTGGATTCTTCGCGCCAAAGGCCGGACTTGCACAATGCGAGGTTTGCCCAGATGGATTGGTTCAACCGCAACGTGGGCAGGCGAAATGCCTTCGCTGCCGAAAAGGCCTGATCGGGATTTCGTGGAGATCGTTCTCGCCTTCCTCGCTGGATATAGACGACTTCAGCGATTGTGTGTCCCCCAAGACGCTGTGCCCACCCGGCACGACGCGCGTGAACGACAATCTCGGACGAAGAGTCGTTTGCAACCCCCCGGTTTGTCCGCCAGACACTTTCAAGCTTATTGCACCTCCCGAGATTCCTTGCGAAAGTTTCTTCTGTAACGTCGAAGAAGGTGTGTACTGCGAGAGATGCCCCAAGACCCATCGGTACGACCCTGTCCGAAACACTTGCATCCTTTGCAACTTCAATGAGGTCAGTGACGGCGGGCTTTCGACAAAATGTCGCAGATGCCCCCCTTTAGAGGTAGGGTTCCAAGGAAAGTGTGCTTGCATGTCGCTCACGTCTGATGGTGATAGATTCTTTGGAACAAAGTCGAGGGGACTTCTGAATGGTCGGTGCCGCTTTTGTCCTCCAGGGACGTATGGGTTAGATGGGACTGCGGTTTGCACACCTTGCCCGCCAGGAACATTCCAGGACGAAGAAGGAGAGTTTGCGTGTAAGATTTGTCGGGCTGGTTCGTTCAGCGATAAGCCCGGGTCGACAACGTGTAAGCAATGCCCGAGGGGATCGATCAGCTTTGGTTCTCCCGCAGATACCTTTGGGTTTGAAATGTTGTTTTCCTCTGTCGTTGCTAGGTGTTCTTCTCTTGTGGACTGCGTCGGTAGCTCCAGTTGTGTTCGCCCGGGATCTCTTCGCGGATAGTAATAGTGTGTCTGAATAGATTGTGTTAGAGCTAATGAAGGGCATGATGTCAGTTTGAGCTGCGAAATGTAATACCTCAATGATAGGCCGTGCTGTGCTTGCTGCCCTTACGACTGCGTAGTTCTCCCTCTCCATCGCAAAGAAGCTGCCATCCGAATCGCAGTGCACACATGCCATGAAGCAAACGTGGCGGTAACTACATGATTCGTGCTGCAGATATTCTTGTAGGAGCATACACCTGAGTGGGTACGCCGATGCATCAGTGTCGATGACGCACGCTGTGCGAAGGCAACGTCGAGACGTGACCACTGGTGAGAGCGTATAAGATTTCAGTTTTTAAAAGCCGCTTGACTTTTCCGCTGCCGAAGTATCGGTGCGCAACGGATTCCCGTCCTCCCTAGTCATGTCTGTCAGGGGCTGAGCGATTTTCGAGAAACAGTGCACGAACGTTCGATTAAGCCACAAACACTGATGATGGATTGAGCTTGTGTCAAGGCCTTTTATAACCCCTCGTCCTCGAAGATGGCCTACGCCCTTCCATCTATCGATTATGTACATGGCAAATCAGAACAATGCCCTTTCTTGGTCCCAGTCCTGCTATGGACGGGCCAGCTGAGCACCATACTTCTCCTTTGTGTTGTCGAAGCAAAAGATTTCAACCAAAGCTCGTTCATACAGAACCAATGAGCCATCTGCTGCACCTACCAAAAGCAGAGGTTTTGCCTCTACATCTTCTTTCGACGCGGCGCATCAGCAGATTTTGCTGCACGACTGGCGCATTCGAGTTTTATTTTGTGTCACCTGTGGGATCGTAGCCCAGGAAGGGAATGGGCAGGCTGTATTCGCCTCCCGAGCTAGGTTGAATCTGGTTCGGGAAGACTTCCGGAGAAGAGGCAGAGAGTAGATTGTAGCGACAAGTTGCAAAGAGTTGTTAGCTGCTGGTCGGCTTCCCGATGGATCTTTGCTTTTACGACCTGTATGGAAGGAAGCAACCCTCGGAAAGGAGTTGTCCAAAGTGCTGTACGGTATCTACCCGAGAAGGCACGCTATAGTCCCGAATGAATGGCGCGTTAGTACACATATTCACATCCACCTCTCCAGAGTGCATCAACAGGCGCCCTTCCGTACGATATGCACTGTGGAGTACCCTTGGTACTGTGGCAAGGGTACTGTAGATTGCGATTTTTCCCTTGCTTTTATTCTCTCTAATTTTAGTTCGGCGCTTTCTGAGACCGGCTACCTTCCGAGCGTCTACATGCGTATGCTCACCATTCCAGTTAGGCACAATGAACGACTTCGTTCAAGCACATCCAGGCCCTCTTGATGTCATTTACGAAGCAGCTGACACAGTTCTTCGAAACGCAGAGGGTCTATTGGGGGCCGACAAACTTGCAGACTTTTTCGCAACCGTTCGATGGAACGAGCCCTTCATCCTCGCCTTGGTCTTGGGGCAGATATTCCTATTCATGCTAACTTATGCCACGCGCAGATTCGAGATTGCACAGTTTTGTATTCTCATGGTAATTACTATGATCACGCTCGCTGCGGAACGCTTGAATATGTACGGAAAAAGGCATTGGAGTCAGTTCGCGTCGCAAAACTACTTCGACGGTCCCGGGTTGTTTATGATGATCTTCGTTTCGGGGCCGTTTGTTGTTCTTGCTAACGTCATTGTAGTAAGTTTTCGATTGATAATGCATTTGAACAGTTTTGGATGTCATCGGTATACTTTTCGGGCGAATCGTTATCTCCCCTTCGCTAACGTGTATTCAACCTTTTGGAAAGTAGATTGGAATGGGCCTAAAGCTTGTCCACTTGTACAGTAGACGTGTTCGAATCCAGCATCAGCAAAGGGAAGAAGAAGAAGAAGCGACAGTTGCTGCAGAACACAAGAAGAACACGTGAATCCTGGAGTTTTAACAGCTCTTTCCGCGCCGTACTTGCTGTGTCTGCAGTCATCCGCGTTTGAGCCGCCGGCTAACCTTTCAATTTGAAGCGCGCACTTTTGTTTCTTGATTAACTGAAATAGAATGCAATTGTTCTTTTCCGCGAGGATCGGAGGCGTTAAGAGATACTACGTGTCCTGCGCTACAAGTCCGTTGGTGTAACCTGGACCATTCCTACAGATGTGCATCAGAGATGCAGAGGTGTATAATTATGCGTACCAGTATCAATTTTCGTGGCATGGAATCATGCCTAACCTCACAATATCGGGGTCCTTGGCTTCAGTTTCTCGAAGTTGAGAGGTAGTGCTCGTGTAAGGAGGGAAAAGCTTTTTCTTTCATCTTTCTGCGATGAAGTATTCTAGTGTTGTGAAGGTTTGCCAACTCGTAACCTCTTATAGCTTGTGGCACCCAGATATTGTTCTGCGTCTTGAAGCAGATCAGACACTTCAAAAGTGTAAAATGACACCTGAGAATCTGTAATGTTTACTGAAGCGAAACTGTTTGCTCATTCCAGACTACTGACGCATTGATGCGATGCTTCTGTGTTTCTAGTCTCGGAGGATAGATGCATGATAGGTCTTTCCGTAGTCAAAGGAGTCTTGACAAACTGTGGTAGAATATCGAGACGTCACACAGCGATAATCAATTTTGAAGAGAAGAGTACTCTTGCGCTCTCCCAAACAAACGAGCCACCCGTCTCCGTTGAGCGAAGCATACACCTCAATGGTCGCCGATGTGATGACAATTTGGCTTCGAGAATTCATGGAGAATTTTTGGATAAAACTCTTGCTTCCTTACCGTGTCAGAATGAATGAGCTTCTCCCATATTTGAAATACAGTAATTTTCACCTTGTTTTGCTCCTGGAGGATTCCAACCAAGGTAAGAGCGGTGTACCAACTACGCATACTTCTTTGAGATATGCCATTTGCCTAAAATACAGGCAAATCCGTCATAGTTCATCTCGCGTGATGGCGGTGTTGTTCAGATTACGAAATCTGCGTTTAAAGCACGGGTCTTTAGTTGGCGAACGCCCCACTAAGAGGGATCAATAACTGCAGTGACATGACAACAGGAAGCTGAAGTGTATTGATATTTTGCCTTTTTGATGTCGACGTCAACGGCTTGAGAATCGTCTTCCAAAAAAATATGAACCTCAAGAAAATCAGACGAATAGGTTTTGTTTTGTCCGTGGCAATAGACCACGTTCTCATTGCTGGACTCCGAAAACGAATCGGGATCGGCCAAATGAAGTTCCAACAAGTGGATATTCACTCGCCAGTAAAAAGAATCAGCCAGTCAAGCACGCGGAAGAACAGCATAGCGATTCGTCCGATTCCCTATTCTAAAAAACCAAAAATTCTCAAGCCCAATCCATCCCAGACTGCATCATCAAATTGCGCTGCTCAAGCCGGCGGTATATGCAACGCGGCCACTCCCTTTTTAGACTGAAACCCTCTCTCAGGTCGTCCAGTAACTTTTACCAACTCTTTCACCCCTTTTCCTACGATCCACACCACAATGACTCGCACCTTCTTCGTCGGCGGCAACTGGAAGTGCAATAGCACCGTCAAGTCCATTACGGAGCTCTGCGCCTCGTGGAAGGAGTCCACAGACAATGGCGCCAAGTACAGTGGCAAGCCAGTTGAGATCGTGATCGCCCCCCCTTCGATCTACGCTCAGACTGCCAAGGATGCTCTCCCTGCTAACTTCCAAGTGTCCCTACAGGATTGCTACAGCAGCACCGGAGCCTTCACCGGCGAGATCGCCGCCGACATGATCGTCGATATGGGAATCCCATGGGTGATCACCGGACATTCCGAACGCCGCACCATTTTCAAGGAGACGGATGAAGTTGTTGCGACTAAGACGGCATACGCCATTTCCAAGGGCCTCTCCGTTATAGCTTGCATCGGCGAACTGCTCGAAGAGCGCGAGGCAGGGAAGACTCTTGAGGTCAACGAGCGCCAGCTCTCCGCCATTGCCGCCACCGTCACAGACTGGAGCAAGGTAGTTATTGCCTACGAGCCGGTCTGGGCCATTGGAACCGGAAAGGTTGCTACCCCGGAGCAGGCCCAAGAAGTCCACGCCGCCCTTCGCGCATGGCTCTCCACCAACGTCAACCCGGAAGTGGCTGAATCCACTCGCATCATTTACGGTGGTTCTGTCAAGCCAGCCAACGCTAACGAACTTGCTGGCCAGGCTGACATCGACGGCTTTCTTGTAGGAGGAGCCTCTCTCAAGCCTGACTTCATCTCGGTAATTGACTCCTACGCAGTGTAAAATTCGGACATTCACTTACGCATGAAACCCTAGAACAGTCTTCAAAGTAAATCCAGGGGAGCGCTTCTCTCGCAAGTTTTGAACACAGTCACGCATAGCCATCTTCGGTCGCAGGTATCGAGGCTTTCACACTCCATTGTGTGAGGTGGACAAAACATTGATGGAAAAATCGAAAAAATTACTCACTACCTGGTCAAAGCGTGAATCTCGGTGCTGTCTACAGAGCCATCTCCGTATATATATTTTAACGTTCTCCGGTTCTGTTCCCATACTGCGGCTGCAGTGCCCCCTCTCATGTGTTATTCTTGCATGAAAGCTAAATCATCTCCTATCTGTTGTGAAAACTCGAAGCTGATTTATGCACCACGCCTTCAAGCGAGCTTTCGCTCCTTCGCCTCGAAGGAACAGCTGGTTCCCACACGACGAAAAAGGACAAGAGATGAGTGGATAGAACCAAGACCTCGCGGTCTCTGGAACAGCGGACAATCGTGTCATTTAGGCTCGGTGATTGCGGCTCTCTCGGCAGTTTCAATGCTGCGGGACTGGTTGATCGAACAGGATACTACAAGTGCTTATGAAACTCCTTTTTCACTTGTAAAGCACTACATTCTCGAGTGCGCCCCCTCATCGGCCTACCGCCGAGCCCTGGATCCCCGTCCTTTACTCACCTTGCTGGAGCAATCCGGCTGGAAGTCGAGGCATGCCCAAGATGCACATGAAACCATGGCACGTCTACTCGAGATTCTAGAGGATGGGTATGGAGCCCAAAGCAATCAAGGGACATCTCCATTGGGTCTCGGCTGGCGATCCGAACCTGGGGGCTGTGGGACATCGCTTTGCTACGGCAAACCGCCGATGGCGGACGTGGCGATCGGGAAGAGAAAAAGTGGTCCTCCTTTTTCCGCTCTCCTTTCCTCATCAAACAAGTGTCATTCATGCGGCTTCAAATCCCCGACCTCTTTCCAGTCTAGTTTCCTTTTGACTTTGCCCATCCCACGCTATGAAAGGACATTGTCGGAGCTGTTTTACAACACATACATGCGCGGAGAAGAGATTGATATGCGGTGCGACCACTGTATGCAACTTGGTTTGCACACACGGTTCTTAGAGATGAAGAGATTCCCAGGAGTTCTAGTCATGCACCTACAGAAAGCGATCTACGGTAGTGGGATAGATGCATCTACTCGGCGGCAGGTAGCGTTGTCGCACTCTCTGCATATTCCTGTGCGGGTGGGAAAGAAGGAAGTAGCAAGGGTCGAGACGTACTCGCTGCGGAGTGTCGTTGGGCACAAAGGAGTAGCTAACACGTGGAGCAGCCACTTCGATGCAGTTGTAAGCCGTAAGTGCGAAGGCGTTTGCGAAGGCTTGCTGGGGCTGACGGAGTCGCGCAGGTGGTTCCATGTGGACGACCAGCACATCTCACGATGCGATTCGGACACACCTCTCATTCCATCGCAGACATACTTAGTCGTGTACCAGAGACAGGATGACAGAGTGAAGCTTGCTATTAGATAAAGACACGAGATTGCTCTCGCATTGCTAGTCTTCAAAGCCTTTCGCTATAAACTGCCCAGTAAAATTGTGATGCCCGCTCAGCTATCTTTCCGAATTGTGATGCAAGCGCCAGCCAGAAGCTTCTCGGGTGTGACCGGGCGCACCCCACCGGAGTCAACTCACTTCTGAGGACTCACAGCGAAGCGACACCACAGTTACACGCCAGAGACAAGGGCACGCATCCAACCATGGACCTCTCCATCATCACGGGAAAACGTATAACAAGTCTTTGCAATTTAAGGTTAGAAAAAAGACTTATACTCTTCAAAAAGAGAGCAGGGGGTGATGGCGACGCCGACGTCGTTTAAATAGGTTTTCCGAAGGGATGCAAAGACGCAAATTGAGGCATTTTGAGGCCCATATTTTCATGCACAGAAAACAATGAATAAAGAGGTCGCAACGAATTTTGCAGAGACACGTGGGATGTAACGAGTGTCCGGCAGGTCAGCTTCGCAGGAGTGCGTACTTAGAGAATTCTGGAATTTTTTCGAACCACATGTCGAGAGGCTGGATGCCGCCGTCGCACTCTAGACTTTTCACTTATTATATTGGATAATTTATCCTTTTTTTATCAATGGTCAGCCAATGCGTTCGAGCAGAACGGGCCTCTGCGCTGTAGTAGTGGTCCTCGGCCCTAGAAAGGGCCCTCGTCGGTCCGTCCTGTGTTGATATCGCGCTCTGCCACTGCTGTGTTCTCCAATTCTTTCACAAGGGACTTTTCGTACAAATTTCGTTACCCCCCACTCTTCTGTACCCGCAGCCTAGAACTCGCCAGAAGCGGATCGACAACTCTCGCCCCTCACCCCCTCTCACCCGCGCTCTTCGTGCTTTTCCCTTGCGCTTGGTGTCACCACTCTTCGCGAGGCTCTACCTTCTTCGTCATTCTTGCGACCATCCCAATTTCAATCCTCCTCTCCGGCTTCCACGCTCCGCCGTCGCGTGTTGCCACATTCAACCTTGGATTTGCGACGCACTGATTGCGTCGTCCATGTGCTCTCGCCTCGCTCGTCCGCATGACGGAGGTTGAAAGTGAGCTAGAATGTCGAATTTGCCGCGGCGATAGCGAACCTGGCAGACCCCTGCTGCATCCATGTCGCTGTTCCGGTTCTATCAAATTCACACATGAAGATTGCTTGCTCAACTGGCTCGCCCAATCGGGTTCATCGCGATGCGAACTATGCAACCATCCCTTTCGTTTCGAACCACTCTACCGCCCGAACACTCCCTCCGCACTACCGACCAAAGAGTTCATCGTAGGAGTGCTCGCGCTAACCCGTAAGACCATGAAGATGGCCGCGAGAATCGTCCTTGTGTTCACCGTCTGGTTGTTTTTCTTGCCAGTTGGAACATGCTGGACTTGGTATGCACTTTTTATCAGCTCCCCGAAGGATCTACCCAACCTTTTTGCCTCAAGAACTCCAGCAGGAGTCATTACCGATGCGTTCTATGGTTGCTTGTTATCCGCGGGTATTGTCTTTGTTTTTCTAGGCGTTTCCTCGTTGCGCGAATACGTGCGTCACTTTCCCCATGACGACATTGATGCTCACGATGATCACCGATTTGCCCCTTTTCCCGACGATGACCAGCTTATACCCAATGATCTGGATGACTACAGCTCAGACAACGACGAAATCCAAAATCGAGATGACGAAATCGCTGGTTATCCGCCCGATATGAACGGCGAAATGCCCCCGCAAAACCAGGCGAGACAAGATGATGATCACTCTAACCGCACTCGATTTCAGTTTCCTCCGATCCCGGATTCCGACGCCCCAGCGGAAGTTAATGACGAGGTCTTTGATGAAGTTGACGAGCTAGTGCGGGACACGTACGAAGTAATAGCTGGCGGCGACAATAGTGAGGATGATATCATAGCAGATGACGACATTATGGATGCAGACAGTGAGGGGATACACTACGAAACACCGGGTGCTCAGGACGAGCATGGTGATTTACTCGACTACGACGATGCTGATTTAGGAGATGAATATGACTCCGCAGATGGAATGCATGACGACGATGGCATTCCTGGGCAAATGTTTCATGTCGCAGATAACTTTCTTGAACAACATCCAAACGACGATGCGGATGATCACATGGACGATGAAGGCATAGACCCGCACGATGATGACGCCGATGGAGGTGCTCTTTTCGGCTTGTTCGAACTCGATCCGGATGAGGTGCCTCTTGAAGAAGTCGTAGGTCTGCGAGGACAAATTCGAAACTTATTTGACAACGCAGGGACCGTGCTGGTTTCAAACGCGATTTTCCTTCTTGTTTTTACATTAATTCCTCTGCTTATAGGAAGGCTCACCATGCGTCTTTTTCAGATCAGATCGTTCCCCATTAGCATTGCGCCGTCGGATGGAGACAGCCTATGGAATGAACTTCTGCGTTCTGTGATACCGTCTGACCATGAACGAATCCAGGACACTATGAAGGGAGATACCAAAAACATAAGCGAGGCGCTTGTTCCAAAAATATCAGCCGGTATCGATGGAGATTTGGTTGCATCACGAAGTGGAGACGCTTTGTCCATCGGCATTGACACTCGTACTAAGTCATATGTGCCCAGCATTAGTGTCAGTATCAGTGATGAACTACAGGGGATCTCCACTCATTCGGTGCACATGGACAATTTCCTCAAAGTACTCCTCGGATACGGGATAATTGCGCTTTTTGCTGTCGGATACATTGGGATTATCTCAGTTTTGAGACACAGATATCCAAGACTTGACTCTCCGATTACTCGCCAAGTCGCACGGTTGCTGCGATATGTGGCAACTTTCGTGAAGATTGTCGTTCTAATACTGTTTGAATTTGGCATATTTCCTCTGGGATGTGGATGGTGGCTAGACTACTGCACTCTAGAGATCCTAGGAGGAAGCATGCAGTCCAGAGTATCCTATTGCCGCGAATCACCCTGGACATGCACTGGAGGACATTGGATCATGGGCATTATCTACATGGTTCACATATCATTGTTCATTTCGTTATTGCGAGAAGTTGTGAAGCCACAGTTGCTATGGTTCTTGCGCAACCCAGATGACCCCGAGTTCCATCCATTTCGAGAGCTCGTTGAGAAGCCCCTGTCGAGACATGCGCGGAGGATGTGCATAAGTGTTATCATTTATGTGCCACTTATTCTCGCTCTGGTCTATGCCCCTGCACAGCTTTGCTTGAAGGTCCTTCCACATATATTCCCCTTTCGCTCTGAGGACTTCTCACACATCCTGATTGACGTTCCTTTCGGAAATCTTCTCGTTGGTCCGCTCATCCGACTACTGTATTTTGGGCGCCCTGGTATCTCGTTACACACAGTTATTGCGACCTGGATCAGGTGGGTGTCAGCAGCTCTTGGAATTGCTCATCTGGTAGTTAAAGACCGAGAAACCAACAATGAAGGAGACGCAATTATGCGTGATCAAGCAAACCGTAACGTTGAAGGCATAGTGCTGGGAGAGAACGAAGCTGTCCCTCTAATTTTCAATGCGCCGCACGCAGATGTGGCGAATGATCTCGGGATCGATAACGCTTTGTATGAAGGGGATTTACATGATCATCCTAGTCAGATACATTCCCCTGACCCGCATGGACTATCGCGAAGAGAAATACAATTCCGAGCCAGTGTCATGATTGTCTTGGCGTGGTTTACTCTAGTTTTGACCGAAAGTGCGTTGGTTGCGATTCCAACAATGCTTGGTCGCTCTTTAATGAGCGCGGTAGGTCTTCCTGTCCGACATGACCTGCACCCGTTCCTGCTTGGCTTGAACGTGCTTTTCGGAACGATCACGGGCTTTGTGAAAATTGTGAAATACGTTGAAACCGCAGACACTATGACTGCCCTCTCCGCTGGTCTACCGTACCTGTGGATGGCAGGGAAGGGATTTGTCATTATTTTCATTTCTCTTGGAGTTATTCCTCTGGCCGCTGGCTTACTCTTCGAACTCATTCTGGTCCCAATACGAGTGTCGTTCGACGAGACTCCTTATTTCTGCCTTCATCAAGATTGGGCGCTTGGCCTCTTGCTTTTTAAGGTATGGACATGTATTGCTGCTGCAGGTGGTCTTGGGGCAGAGTGGAGGGAAAGAATACAACGTGCCAGAGAGGGTGACGTCATTGGTTTAAACCAAAACTTTTCTCGCACAATGAGAGAAGTGGTTATGCCGGTATTGATTTTCCTGGTCACTGCTCTATCAGTCCCGTACTCAGCAGCCCGCGGCGTGCTACCACTGCTAGGGGTGGCGAGGTGGGTTTCAAACCTAGTGTACAGGTACGCGTATCTCGTGATAACGTGTCTGTACTGCGGTCTTGAAACACTTCAGTATTCAGTATTGATACTTAGAGAGTTGCATGACTCTATTCGTGACGACAAATATCTAGTCGGAAAGCGATTGTATAACTTCATGGAGTCATCTGAAGGGAGAAGTCCTGTCCCTCAGCCAACAGAGGCCACTTGACTGGACGTTTCTCATCAAGAGTTAGACCGCTGTAATTATGAAATTGTATTGCTCGTAAAGGAAGCTAATGCAAGAACGAGACTGAGACGGTCTCTTGTTAATATTGAATCCCATCGCTCGTATCGCTGAAACCGCAAACCAGCGGGATTGCCATGTTGCACATTGACATAACTCCCTGACGTTACACGTAATGCATCACGGAGACTATCACTTCAACCACGTAGAGAGAGTAAACCAATTTGGACCTGCAATCCGGAGTTAGTATCCTGTTTAAACGAACGGGGGTTTTGGGCTTAGCGACGGTTACACTTAGTTCTACTTGTCATCCCCGTCTAGATTCCAGCTGATATTGAACGTTTGTGAAAAAGCCTGAATAGCATGGCAGTATTATGGTCCCCCAAAATGCAGTGAGGATCTCTCCAAAAGAAACTTCTAGCACTATCATGAACAGCACACGAGATGATGGATAGAAAACAGGCAACGTCCTTTTTCTTATCCATCTATTCGGGTAATGAGTGTGAACGGCATCAGAGCGCCACTTTAGATATCTAATAAATATATTGATGCCCTACTTAACCACTCCCCTTGGTTTTGAAGATTCCGCAGTTTGTATAGTGTTTATAAGTTTATGAGAGAAGCAATGATGGTCAAAACACACGTTGAGGAGATACGATACTTTACCCCAGCATGAAACGCGGAGCAGAGAGCAATGTTTCAAGAAAAGATTGCATTAGCGCTCTACTGTATACAGTATGTATTGCGTGGAACAGGGTAGATACCGTACAGTGTGGGTGATTCCCGAAGATTGGTATTGCACTGTCCATGAAATCATGTTGTATCCCTTAATTATAAAATAGCTCTGCTCACATGTACTAGGGCCACGTCAAGCGCGATATCAAGGAGTGACAGTAAACGTGAACGAAGCCCGCAGCTTGTCCTCCGAAAATGATCCTAACGAAAAAGCTTCTTGCGGTTTGTCTCTGAGGCAATTTGTTCTGGGCGGCTCCTTTTCAAATGCGAACGTTTCTGTTTGTGTGATTGTTGTCCCGATTTGAAGATACGGTGATAATCTACAACATAGTTCATCTATAGTTCTTCTAGAATGTCTAGAAAAGCGCGGGCCACCAAGGATGAGCAGAAGCGTTCGACGTGGGGTCTGTCAGGCTCTTTCTGCACCTCATTTTCTAACAAGTGTTGACGCTTACAGAGAAGCCCCCATCACGCGGTATTGTAGTACATCTTTCGAGATACAGATTTCGAAAGATTGAATGCCGCAACAGTAGCCTCAGAGGACGCCTTTTCCTACTTCGGACTCACACAGACGAGGTCGTCAACGGAGGTGTGCAGCATGGCCAAAGTAGGCCATCAACGTGTCCCTCAGAATATCTGTGCTGGACTTTTCTTGGCAGGGAGCAAACAATCTGAAGCATACGGAAACGTGAGGGCGACTCCGTTACACGGCGCACGTAACAGAGTTATGAGAGACGGAATCTTCTGTCGGCAGTGTGCACGGACTGGTCCAGTGGGCCATTCACTGATGCCAAATAAAACGGTAAAACAGCAATGCAAATACGACAGACTGAAGGTACGGGAAGGCTGCACCCGCACATATTTGTCATTTGCACAGGTGTTCCTGTGGACCCACCGCGACTACAGTGTCGTCCCAATGTGCTGCAACCACAATTGCTCCTGGATGAGAATCAGAAGCGTTCTCCAGTAGCACTGATACATGTACACTTCCCCAAAGCTCTCGAGAGGTCCACTACATGCAGCTTGACCCTTCAATGTTCTCCTTCCTCGCTTCTTGTCTTTTCAAAAGGACAGGTACGGAAAGTGAGCACTGGTTTTGGCTTTAAATAAAAAACGGCCTGAAGATTGGCAATTTGAGCACAGAAATATACTACTCAGATGATCTTGCTTGTCGTATGAGAAGTGCTCATCAGTGGTAACAGGCCGGTCTCGAAGGGAGAAGTTGCAGAAGATCTATCTACGAGGTATAGAACAACTCGGGTTGTTGATAGTATACCCGTCAATAGCGTGCTTCTTGTTCTCTCTGTTCTAAATGTCTCCGTTTCCTCGGCAGTGCTAATCCACTTTAAGGACTGGAAAAGACTGCCGACCGCGACAATTCTTACTTATTGGTGAGGCTCGCAATCTAGATTCAGAAAGTGGATGTCTGCGTATGTCAGTTGGAATCCATGTCAAACAGAACACAGCGAGGAGTGCACAATGAACATGTTAATCTGCGTTGCCTTCCATCAGTTGGAACCACATTCATAAGCCAAGGAAAGCATACGTCATTAGGTTCTGTTTAATGTTGGGACTGCATGTAAAGCACAAGTGCAGTAGTCTTTGCGAGTTGCCTGTCATTGAAGTTCTTCGCGAAACGTCAGAACTTGTTCTCCCATCATAAGGGGATTCAAAAGTATGAGAAATAGACATGTAAGAAACTGCAATATCCTGACTAACATGTTCTCTTGAGCCCACTTCACTGCCTACTACTACATGTTATGATATTCTTTTTTTGCCAACCCCCGAAGTCTCATTGATGACATTAAAAATTGCAGTGATGGTTACTATACGCAGGAATGTACAGCTACAATTCTTGCTGCATGCAGATACAGTAGTACGAGAAAAGAGCTCATCATGAACTCGAAACGGACAGGGTAATTTGCAAAAAAAAAAAAGTAACATACCGTAATTTATATATCAAGATCTCTGTCCTTTTGCTGATCTTTCCCTTCTACAGCTATATTGGCTTGGCTTGCACTGAAAAGCAAGGATGGGCATTTCATACGATGCGACACTGTCGTGAGCTTATCTCGGGAGATTGAGTAGCAAGTCTCATATATTCACGAGTTCACCTATTCTGCGATGTTTTGCAAATCGATGTCATTGGCATGCCAACTCTATACTGAGGCAGGTGGAGAGGTGTTTTCTTTGCTTCTGGCCTCGTAACGCAAAACCTGTCCATGCTATCCTTGTTACTGTCTAAGAACGAATTGTACAGAACAGAACGATTGGTTTCAAGGTCTTTTCATCTCGATAAAGTACATGACAATGATCGAATAGGATTCTTTATTTCGGATTCTATTTTTGACGACACTGTTGACACGCTAGTAGTTTGCTAAAATGAGTTTTAAGCACTCTAATTCTGTTCACTCTTTGACAGGACACGTTTTTCAATCTCACTACCATCTGAACACATTTTCGATGAGTTGGTGACCAGCAAACTGAAGATTGCAAAGGCATTGTACAGTCCTGTAATTCCATGGCAGTAAAAACACCAAGGCAAAGAGACGTACTACAGTTGAAGCACAGAAACTGATAGTCAAGGAATGGAGTATTATGAGCGTGTCTAGCATATGAGGACAACAGTCCAATAGACACTAGGAGAAAGGGCAAGGGAGGAATGGCCAACTAGGCATATTGCGCAACAGATCACAGGGTCCGAATGAGACGGAAATCCCTATTTACGCGGTGGGAATTAGAGCTATTTTTCATTTAGGTCTCCCTTTTCTCACCCCAGAAAGCTATTAAGAAAGCTGTCCACGGATAGATTTGGCAAGTGGCGATGAAGCATATTCAAACCTAAACGCGTATGGACGTGTCTTGATTCTACAAGAAAGTTCCAAGGTAATCGATTCAAATACATTTGAAAAGGAGTAGTATTGCAAGTCGAACAGGGTCGGAAAAGGGTTTCAGGTATCGGAAATATGCGTTTTTGAACTTTCGCTTGCCTGGAAATGGTAGAAGAGGCCTCAACCGAGTGCCCATCGCGTGATTGAAGTATATGCCTTGTATGTGTGAGGAACTTGGCAGGATTCGGAAAGATTTCAACGGCCCACTGGACACTGCTTACGCTGCTCCTGATGTAGTTTTCAAGTTTCAAGTTCAGCGAACCGAGATCGAAAGAAACCTTACTTTCTTCAAGGTGACGACTGCTACTGAGAAGGTTTCAAAACGGTTGTCTTCACCGGACCCACGTCGCCACCACTCATCCGTTGAATCTCGGCCAATAGAAACGCCTCATCAATTAGTGTGCAAGACGGTGCAATCATCTACAGTAAGCCACCTGCAGCCATTCGACTTGGACACAAGTGTCGACAGCCTATGCAGGGAAAGGCAGTAGCGCAGAGTGACACGGCGCATTCATAGCATCGCTGAATCCTCTAAGCATGCATGCGCCGTGCATCGTCACGTGGTCCCGCACACTAATCTCCCCAGCGGGCCCCTGAACGACGATGATGCGCTTTCCTCTCTGGCCCCCCAAAGAAGCCCTCTATACCGTCTCAAATTTCCTTTGCTCTCTGCAGTTTGCCTATGAGAAGAGAGAAATCATTCTCTGCTATCATCATAAGCTTTGGTCCGACCCTTGTAACTTCAATTCTAGTCACCAGCACAAAGCACCCTCATTTCCGATTTTCTTCTGGTCTAAGCATTCTATGTCGATTTCTGCCCAAACCCCTCGCAAATCCACTCTGTGTTGGACCGCCACGCTCTAAATCTCTCTCTTTAGCTTTCCTTATCTCATGCCTTGACATGTACTCCTCGCTTCTGCCTACAGTTCAAACCCCGCGCTTTCTTCACGATTCTTTCTGGCCTTACATTGGTGAGCATCCTCACTTATTCAAAATTTCCTCCCCTGCTGTTCTGGGCCCTCGGGTGGTCCATTGTTAAGTTCAAATCTTGGCTGAACCGCGCTTCGCGCCCCCGCCCTCCTGCTTGTCTCTATTAAGTCTGAATCTCCGTCGACATCCACACCGATATCAGGGACTACCGCGATACCCCAAGTCTCTTCAAAGCTCACCTCCCATTTGTTATCATTTTCTGGGGAACGCTTTCTTGTTACAATATCCGGCATAACAGAAAAACTACCAACAAATCGCTCACTCCCTCACAGCATGAGCTCCTATGACACTGACATGAGTCGAGTATTCGATCTACACAACACAGTTTCAACAGGTCATGTTTCTACACCATCCTCACCCAATCCCAGTTGGGAGTCCAGGTACGAAGAATTACTCCAATGGCGAGCGGTCAGGGGTGATACTTGCGTTCCGAAAGCTGAAGGGGCTCTTGGACGTTGGGTAGCAAGGCAGCGTGAACTAAAGCGAACGGGAAGTAAGTGTTTGACTTGTGGCCTATGCTTGTTTTCATCCAATGAAGAAAATCGTTCTGACATTTGTGGAAAATTAATATACTCTCTGCTTTGAACAGAGCTCGATCCAGGAAGAGAGCATGCTCTTAATTCCATCAACTTTGTGTGGAACACCGTTACAGCGATGTGGGAGGAACGATTTCGTCGTCTTAGCGAATGGAAACGCATACACGGCCACTGCGCAGTTCCAATTGCTCAAGGCGAATTAGGGACGTGGGTTTCGAAGCAACGTCAACTTCGGAAAAGGGGAAAATTATCAAAGGAGAAAGTAGATGCCTTGGATAGTTTGAAATTCACGTGGAGTACCGCCGAGGCAGACTGGGAGGATAAATTCAAGCGACTGTGTGGATGGACTCGAGAACATGGACATGCAAGCGTTCCTTTCAACGAAGGCGAACTCGGCTGGTGGGTCAACACTCAGCGTCAATGCAAGCGAAAAGGAAAGCTGAACCAGTCTCGTGAAGCCCGACTCCAGACACTAGGCTTTGTCTGGAATCCTTCAAATTCGCGTTCCCGAGCCGCAAATACGACAACGAATACTGCAGTGACGTCGTCAGCTGTTACGACACCAGTGTCAACGCCAGAAAAAATAGAAACCACGATAGGATCTGATGTGGCTACAAGCGACATTTTGCAGCTGTTTGCCGACCAGTCGAAAGAGGAACCAGACTTCTTCCAGGACAATATCTCTCCGGTGTCAGCCGAACCAATGCCTTGCACAGAGGTTACTCAAGTTTCTACTCCACCGACTACTCAAGCCGAAAGCCTACCATCACCACAAGCAGCTCTGTTACCATACAACATGTGGTCGCCTGCAATTCTCTCATCACCGATGTTGAACATGCCAAACATGCAGATGATGTCTTTGCCTAACCCATTTAGTCTGCTCATGCCATCTGTGTCACAGTCCTTTTCGATGGGGCAAAGTGTACAGTGCCACTCTGAAGCTCTAGAACAAATTCTCTCTCGAGATGACGGATCATGCGTATTTGATCAAGCCGCCATTGATTCATTGACATGCGATGAGGATTTGTGAGGGATGTATTATGGGCGCATATGAAATTTTGATGGAATTAACTAGCTAACTGCGACGCTCATTGTTTATCCAGGGCGTTGGTGCTAACATAACTTGATGTGAATGTGCCGGAACGCGAGAGCACGAGATACGGTTCTCGACGTGTAGAGTACTGTCGTCAAATAAAAACTTGCTTGAAACTGTATTTACAGCATACGTATGTGAATTTCTAAGCCTTGAAGGACGAAAGCTGTCGGCCAAGCTGGCGTTGCTTGGGTTTGCTTCGTACCTTCGCAGGGTAACGGTACACTCGCAGGATACACTCTCTGGGTGTGTAGTCGCAGTGAACTTCAGTACAGTGCTGTAGAGCACGGTGTGTTACTGAATTCTGCATTTTTTTTTATTTTATTCTCGCCGGGTTGGAAGAGATTGCCGCAAGATGATGACGTCATGGCGCCGTGTGCATGCACAAGCGAGGGTCGAACGTGTCCACGTGTTTCGCGTGGCATTATGATAAGGAATAAAAACGAAAGTATAAAGTGTCTCTACTTGATAGCTCTCCAGAAGCTTCTGGGGAGGTCTGGAAACCCATGTTGGAGCGAGAGCCGTCAAGCGAGCCTGGATCATACCAAGCATCTCCTTATCATACTTGAGTAATTAAATGAATAATCCGCAAAGAATGCCACAAGCGCCGGTGGGAAGTCAGCTAGTTTTGACGACGGCATTCCTTCGCTATCGTACGGTGTGCGCAATGTGTCCCACGCCAACCTCTTATAACGCCTCTCAACGCATTACGGTTCCTCTTGAAGTTTTGACGATTCTCACATCCGTATCTCACCAACTACTCCCCACGCCTCACTCTTCTCACGTCACAGAGATCACAGTTTCTATATTCTCGGCCCTTGCGCTGCTCACAAACCCGGCTGTTGCGCCAGAGTTTTATTTCCGAAGGCTTTGACGCCACAAGAGCACTTTCCCGTCTATGCGAAGCACTGAAATGGGAAAGGATTACTATTCTATCCTCGGCGTTGACCGTAACGCTACAACAGAGGAGCTCAAAAAGGCGTATCGCAAAAATGCTATGAAATGGCATCCAGATAAAAACCCTGAGAACAAGGCTCAGGCAGAGAAGAAATTCCAAGAACTCTCTGAGGCCTACCAGGTATGTACTTGAACACTTATCTTAATGGTGTAGACCACCTTCACTATCTCTCTTAGTCTCTCATCGGGCAACTTTCTCACATTGTCGTTCACGTTAATGTCATCGTCAATTAGGTTTTGTCTGATCCCAAAAAGAAAGAGGTATACGACCGATACGGTGAGGATGGCCTTAAGTCTGGTATGGAAGAAATGCCTCAAGGGCGAGGTGGGGCGTCATTTCATTTTTCTGGTCCAGGAGGATCAGGAGGTTTCCAAGCACCCGAAGATTTGTTCCGGGAGCTCTTTGGCAATAGCGGATTTGGTGGTATGGGTGGTATGGGTGGTATGGGTGGTATGGGTGGCATGGGAGGCATGGGCGGTGGTACTAGTTTTTCTTCTTTCGGCCAGGGCGTCCGTCAAATGCGGAAACAGCCGGACACCGAGGTCAACCTCAATTTATCGTTGGAGGAGCTTTACACTGGTGTAACGAAGAAGCTCAAGATCACTCGCAATGTCGCACGAGCGGATGGTGGACTAGATCGAGCGGCCAAGGTTCACGAAGTCATCATCAAACCGGGATACAAGGCCGGCACAAAGATTCGATATAATGGTGCGGGGAGCGAAGCGCCGGGGTATGCACCAGGTGACGTTGTTTTCATAATCCAAGAGAAGCCTCACACACGATATAAGAGGGTTGGGAACAATCTAGAAATTTTGCACCGCATCACGTTGGCAGATGCTTTGGCGGGAAGTCATATTACCATCCCCGGTATAGAGGGTCGATCTTACCGCTTAGACTGCTCAGAAGTTCTTACCCCGAAAACGGTCAAGACTATTTCAAACGCAGGAATGCCGATCTCCAAGCGGCCCGGTGAACGTGGCGACCTCGTCATTAGGTTTGACATTGTCTTCCCCTCCTATCTTCATCAAGAAAAGCGTGAGCGTCTTCGCGAGCTGTTGTCGTAAGCGTCTGAGCGAAGACGTCGGATCACTCTAGCTGTGAATATGACCGTATAAATAACTTTTAGCTCCCTAGCGATTAGATGTAGTGGAAATGTCCGCTGTAAGGGCTGAGTCTTGTGCGGCACTCGACCGCGTTACCAAACTGGGTTCTTACTTTCTCTGGAAAAAGGTGTCAACCCGGAATGTGTTTGATGCCGTTTTCGAGCGTTTCCTGGCCGGCGACACAGTCTCAGAGCGTCTCAAGCATTGATCTACGTGCAAGCTTGCTTTTGCTAGGAGAGAGGATAACACTTCATTGCAAATTGGGCAACGAGAGAAGGAAGCGTTCGGGGATAGTGGCCGTCGTGGATTTGGCGATGATCTGTTTTGCAATAAACGGCCATTCGGTGGTCTGCATACCGATGACATTCCTTTGCCTTCTTTAGGTGCGAAGAAAGAAGCGACCGTTTCTTTCTTCGTCGAGGTTGCATTCTTCTCTGTTTTGTTTTCTGTAAAAGCACTTGCCCCAATAGAAATTAAGGTCATATCAAAAGTTGAAGATGCCGAAACACCGGCATGATCCTTCAACACGAATAGTGCAGCTCTAGAAAGAGCGATAATAGATCGGTCTGCAGCATCTGCACCCTTCGACGAGCACAGGGAAACGATTTCTTGTGGCATAGGGATTGCCCGCATTGTCGCATGATACCCGTCCCCTCTGAATCTAAACCCTACCGTCAAAGTCTTCGGTCGGCGCCCGTACAGCTCCCAATCTCGACGTAACCGGGTGACCATATCCTTAGCACGGATAGTGACTCGTCGCTCTGCATCTTCGATCTTGGTACAAGAGCGGAATGAATCCATGGAAGTGAGCGACTTTGGAGCGTCGCCGGACTCGATGACTGGTGAGGTGTCAGTCCCTTGGCATAGTTCCAGAATCTTTCGCGCTTGATCGTCATTGTCAAGAACTTTGGCGAGGGACGCGAACCCCTTCTTCCCATCACCGAACCATTGTACAACATCTGCGGCGGTTTTAATGTCCTCTTTGCCGTTCCGTTTCGCCCAGGCAGATATTTTCCCTTCCACGGCATAGCCAAAACCCGGGAGACTTCTTGGATGGCGCCCAGCTATGTACTGTGCCGCATCTCCTGAAAGAAAGATTGTTTGGTCATTTGGTTTGTTCATGTTCACAGCAAGTTTTGCGAGCAATTTGCTTTCGCTGATGCCAGCACAAAGCGTTAGCTTTGTTCTGAGCGTGATTTCTTTTCGCAACTCTGAAGCTAGTTGAGAAGCTACCATTAATGCTCGCCTACTAGCGTCGTCGTCGGTTCGCCCAAAGATATGCCCCTGGAACTCCCATGGCCTTCCGCCTGCTGTGACTTGCTCTGCGACTAGCCGGGAGACGTCGATAAAGACCTCGTCAAAACCGAGCTTCTGACAGGGGATGGGAAAACTTCCTACGCCGAGCTCGGTAACCTTGGCGTGAAGCCACGCCCGGATGACTGCGAGGACCTCGGCGTTTGCCTCACGGAAAGGGGTTAGGTCCGAGCCATCAATGCAAACGATGTCCGGGCATGCCTTGAGAGCGGTGGACACAGGGGTCATCTTTTGGACTGCCCCATGAGCGAGGCGGCGAGCTACGTAATTGCTGGTGACGCACAAGTGCTTCTGCAAGATGACCACTGGCCGATTTGCGAGATGCGGGCGGGAGCGGATTGCTACCTGGGCGTAAAAGCAATCAAGGTCTAATGCGAGGATGGCACGAGACTGCGACGCGCGAGGTCTCTTTCTCGCCGCAGACATGCTTCTCTAAATGCGTTGCAGCAGGCGATTCCTCTTTTGACACACTGGCATACGAACAGAAACGAGGATCCCGCGGCGTGTTCGCAATCGCTTCAGTGGTGTTGGTAAGAGAGCAGCCTAAGAGCGCTCAACAGGCTCAAATTGCACAGACGAGTCCTGCAATGCAAGGGCCATAAATCACACGTGGACACGAAACAATGGGGGCGCAATTGGATCACGGGGATCGGATCTAAGTCAGTCCATTTCTCGGAGACACCAATGATAGTGCATGGCTAGTTGATGCAGGGCCCGAAAAACATCACTGGCAGCTATGTCGTGAACAGCTGGAGTTTTGCCTCAATGGATCCCATGCATAGTTTCGGCCGAATCGACGGCCGAATCGAGTAAGCTACTTTCCCCCCTGACCACTCGTAATTCACATTACCACGCTTCGTTTCTATTTATCTTGCCGAGCAGAGCGAGGCGCGTCCTCGCGCAGCAGGATCGAACTGCCCTTCTTTCGCTTCAGATCGTATCGCGGTACTCCGGTCTTGACCGTCTTTTGTCCTTCTTGCAGCGATGGGTGTCGTTGCAGAGCTCGGTCGTCTCTCAGTGGGGGCATGGTCGCCTGGTGGTTCCGGTGGTGGCTTCATCGTGGCTGGTTCCTATATGGGAGCTTCGGAAACTTCGTTTGGACCATCTGCCTCCCTCGAACTCATTGCCGTCGACATCCAGCGCTCAAAGCTCACACCCGTATCGAATATTCCTTCCTCACACAAATTTTGCGCAATTGAATGGGGACTTCCTTCTCGTGCACACCCTTTCGGCCTCATCGCCTCCGGCTTAGCTGATGGCACAGTACGAATTTTCGATGCGGCGCCGCTTATCCGACAGAACGCGGGTTCCGTAAATGACGAGAGTACAGCAGTCGTCTATGGGAGCGCTACAACGACGAAGAGACATACGGGACCAGTTAAGAGTCTTTCGTTTAATTCATTTTTGCCCACCAGACTTGCAACTGGAGGAGCTGATGGTCAAGTGCTCGTGTGGGATTTTAACAATGTATCTGCTGGGCCGATTGCGAGACCGCTGGCGGAGAGCCAAGCAACAAGCAATATCACGCAGAAAGAGGAGATCACTGCCATAGCATGGAACCGCAAAGTCGAGCATGTTCTTGGAACAGCGACAAATTCGGGTCTTCTCAAAGTCTGGGACTCAAACCAGGGCAAACGTGTCCTAAGCATTAGAAATCCTAGAGGAAGGTTAAGATGCTCCGCTCTTGAATGGCATCCAGAGATTGCAACCCAAATCATACTTGCTTGCGATGAGGATCAAGACAGCGGAGCTACGCTGTGGGACTTGCGAAACGCCTCGGCTCCAGTAATGTCTTACACGCATCATGGTCCGAATGGCGTTTCTGCAATGAGTTGGTGTCCGCATGACTCTGATATGCTTTTGACGTCTTCCCGGGATTCTCGAACTGTAGCGGTTTCAGTGTCAACTGGAGAAGTGCTCTCAGAAGCACCCAAGACAGCAAATTGGAACTTTGATGTCAAGTGGTCACCGCGCATCCCGGGTATGTATCTATCCTCCTCACAAGATGGCACGATCGCAGTAAATGCGCTGATGACGACTACGACTGGACCGTCAGTTTCGAGTGAGACCGCAAATGCGTTGGCAGAGTCGTTTGGTGAGATGGCGGGTGGTTTCCAGGTTGGCGTGCAAGACCAATCCCCTCGCGCCGTCGATAAGCCGCGAGTTTCGTACAATTTAAATCGACCACCGAAGTGGTTGAAAAGGCCAGTTTCAGTTTCGTTCGGATTCGGAGGTCGACAGACATCCCTGTCAAGCAAGGGCGCCGGGAAAGTGGACATAGAGTCATTTGATGAGAGTTTCTCTGGATTGCGTGAGGCCTGTGTTGAACTTGATACGATTCTATTAGACATGACAGCCGATGATCCTTCCCCTGCTCTGAGGTGGTGCCAGCAAGCTAGCGCAGGTAGTGAAAGCGCCAAAGATCAGATGGCTTGGGATGCCCTGGGAATGGTTTTCCGACAGGACTGCAGGCGATTAGTTCTGAAGTACCTTGGATTTGAGCCTCCGTCAATAGAAGCTGGAGATGACATAACCATGCCTGTATACGGACTGCCTTTATCACACGCTCTGGCCATTCCAGTCCGATCCGCTCCACGAGAAATCAGGACCGTTTCTGAGACCCTCCTCAACCGTGCAGACGATATCGACGCTGTCACGAACGGCACTGGGGCATTGAATTTGGATAGACCTGCTCCATGGGAAGTAACCGAAACTAGAAGTGGGCATGATGAAGTCAAAGCAAGCATCTTAGACGGTGACGATAGTTTGGCCGAGGTTGAGGAAACTCCAACAAACAAGACAAATGGTGTTCCGGGATCGAAGTCTCAAGCAGGTACATCAGGATCCTTCGTAGGGAAGACACGGGAAGAAATCGATGTTTTGGTGAAGAAATCGGTGATAGTGGGGGATTTCAAAACTGCAGTAGAGGCATGTCTGCACGTCGGTCGGACAGCAGATGCGCTAATTATAGCGCATGCAGGTGGCCCTGATCTTTGGCTGGAAACCCAAGCAGAGTACATCTCGAATGCAGGCCTTTCGGCAGGTGCGAGCATCGTTGGGGCCATTGCTGGACCAAAGACCAAAATGGATGCCTATATTCGCGACGCGGGAAACTCTGGGAAGGAGTCGTGGAAAGAAGCACTGGCAGTTTTGATGACATACTGCCCTGGGGAAGAGATATCAGAAGCCTGCTCTTCCCTTGGACAGCGCCTTCTCATTGCACAGAACGAAGCGGCTGCCTTGTTTTGCTTTATCTGCGCCGGAAACACAAGAATGGCCACAACGTTGTGGATGCGCTATCGACCATTAATGGCGAAGCCGACTTCTGTGATGATGGCTGACAGGATACAGCGACTTTCTGCTCTGGTGCAAAAAGTCCGTCTATTAACTGCAGCCTCTACCTTGGGTGCGGGGGAGCGTCAAATCGGAGCGGTGAAGGCATTGGATGAAGTAAGTGGATCTGTACTGTGCGAATATGGGGCTCTCTTAGCAAGTCAAGGCGACGCATCCCTGGCTGTCATGTACCTGAGCAATTTGGATGCCAACTATACATGCATGTATGGTTCAGCGGAGATGATCCAAGCTCATGCTTCAGAGCAATTGGCGATGGACGACAGTGCGACAGCTGCAAGTCATAATGTCGCAAGCAGTTCAACTCCTGCTTATCACCCGTACAACACGGGATATAGTGATTCCACATACGCTTATGGGAATGATGGATATTCGCCTGGTCAGGCATATGGGGTAGCCAGTCAACCACAGTATGGAGCAGTTTCTGGTGCCTTACCGCCAGCCCCGATGGCGGTCCCTGCTCCGTCGTTTGGGGCGACACCACCCGGGCCAGAACGATATTCTAGTTCGCTACCACCGATTCCTTCCAATCCGGTTGCTTCTCGACCGACGCCTCCCAGTGTATTCGCTTCAGGGGCCCCATCTGCGGAGCGCCCATTTTATGATGCGTCGGCGGCTTACGCGTCGGTCCCTGCGTACGGACAAGACATGTACCGAGCACCTCCTCCACCCGCTCCAATAGTCCCTGCTGCGATCGGAGCCCCATCCACTGGTTCATATGCATCACCAATTCCCGCGGGAACTGCAGCCACGGCGCCATTAGCCCCGCCTCCTGTCGGTGGTAGAACAGCTGCACCGCCAATACAAGGCGGGACCTATGGTCTGGAACCCCCAATGGGAGTAGTGAATACAAATCTGGGACTTCAAACGCAATCTCTTGCGGCGCCAGCACCACCTCCTCCCCCGCCCAACGACGCAACGTCGTCTCCGCCTATGTCTTACCATGCGAAGGCACGACCAGGTTCGGGAGCTTCACTACCACCGTCTGCTGAGGTTGCGGTAGCAGAGCAGCGTCGGTCAAGGCCCATGTCGAGTTCAGGGACTCCAGGTGGTCCACCGAGGCGATCGACATCCACATCGTCATCTCTTTCAGCATTGGGCTCGGAAACTGTGCTTTTGGAAAAGGCAGACGTCTCAAAGGTACCTGCTGATCAGCAAGTAATTGTGAACTCTTTCCGAGGGGCTTATATGTACGCTTTGAATCAGAATTCATCGCCCTCATACAAACGAAAGATGGCCGACGTAAACAAGAAGTTAGGGAGACTTCTGGCTGGTCTTAACGCTGGCCTAGTTGAGGCGCCAGTAGTTGAGCTACTAATTGAGGTCGGTTCGTCTATTGAGAAGGGGAACTATGATCAGGCGACTACTGTCGTTAAGACCCTCACGAAGCAGCATTGGGATCAAAATGCTCAATGGATTAGAGGCCTGAAGCGCCTTATTGATTGTGTTCTAACTGGAAGGTGAGGAGAGTGTAGCTCGGATTGGAAGGATGGCACTAGTTCCTAGAGTATTAAAACAATAGAGGCAGCGTGACATCACTTTGGACACCCTTTAGAACCGTCATATTTGCTACACAAGGTTGTGTCCCATCCTGCAAATTCATGAGTTTAGTACAGATGGCTGCTTCAGGCGACTAAGCTGAGTTAATTGTCTATACTTTCAGGATATCAGCTTCCTTCTGCTTTAAGAGCTCATCGATGCGCTTCACGTGCTTATCGGTAATCTTTTGTACTTCGCTCTGCAGGGTTTTACTCTCGTCCTTTCCGAGCTCCTTCTTCTTTTCCAATTTCTTCAGCGAGTCCACGGCATCTCTCCTGATATTTCTCAAAGCCACGCGTCCCTCCTCTGCCAGTCCCTTTACTTGCTTGACGAGTTCCTTCCTCCTGTCCTCCGTTAGCGGTGGAACACTCAAGCGAATACAGCTTCCATCATTATTTGGTGTAATACCTACGTCAGACTCCATTATTCCTCGCTCCACGTCGCCCATGCAGCTTTTGTCATATGGTTCGACCAAGATTGTCGACGTCCCGCTCAGCGAAACACTTGCAAGTTGGTTCAATGGCGTTTCAACATCGTAGTACGACACCATAACACGATCTACCATCGACGTCGACGCACGGCCTGTGCGGACAGTACTAAATGCCGACTGGACGCTGTCTAGGGTCTTTCCCATACGATCTGTGGTTTCCTTTCCGGTTTCATTCTGAGTTAGTTCGCAGCGCACCGAGCTGGGATTGGACTGGGAGGGTGAATGTTGCAACCGACGGGTGGATGTGGAGAAACCGTGACGTTGTGGAGCTGCAATCTGGCAAACACCACGCGTGAAGGATCGACACGGCAGCGACACAAGGCCCGCTGGGGTGACAAAGCCGAATTCCCTGCGGAGAAACATCGGGAATGGTTATGCAGTGTTCGGACCTTCTTCGGAATTCCCTGTGCTGTACTTGACTTGTGCCTCGAGAGCTGGTTGACTTTCCCTGTTCTCTGCACGTGCTGGTTTACTACCGCACCACGTCCGAGATCGATGGAGATACACCTGTTGGCCGATCGGAGATTTTTTGCGGTGCGAAAATATTACTGTAGGAAATCGTGGAAAAGTCCCCAAGCGGGCACTGTAAAACATAGATATTCATCCTTGGACACGACAGTTCTTAAAACGTTCAGAACGACAACAGGTCCTACGAAAAAAAGGACAAATTACTTCTCTGAAGACATGCACATATCAATCGAACGTATGCTTATGAGTGCGTGGAAGCGTTGGCTGTCTCCAAGACAATGCCCCTTTCTTTCATGTGGGCAAGAATATCTTTAAAACAGCCTTACTTCTTGAAGGAGAAGGACCTGCGTAGGCTGGACGTGAAGGAGAAAGTCAAGGAGCTCAAGCAAACGGGGGGCGCTAAGAATTATATTGAAAAGCGTAGGCGCAGATTAGCGAACAAAGATAGGAAGCTGTTGCCAGGACAGAGGCTGAAAGAATGAAGTAGTAGCTATCAACATGAGCTATTTCCAATGTAAGAATATGTGGTTGTTGCCCTTGGCTTGAACATGCTCTGCGCCTGTCATGACCGCATGACCTAGAGCAAAAGCGTGTTCTTCAAAGAATATTTGGGTGACTGTCGAATGTCGATGAAACGGGAGTTAGAGGAAAAAGTAAGAGGCTGGTTAGCAATATGACAAACATGCAATGATTGAGTTGTGTGCGTAAAATACAAGGTCGCGCCTCAGACTCTTCCTATTTGTAATCAATCGGCATGGGAAGCCTCCTAGAAGAAACCCGATACGATTCGGATTGTTCGAGTGTTACTGAGAGATCATCATATGCATGCCCGTATGGGTCATAATGACACAGACGGGTGTGAGACACAAAAAAAGGAAGTGAAAGACGTACCGCATCGTTCGGTACCTCCAACATGCCTCATCAAGCGAAAGTGGAATAATAAAACTTCTCAGATCGGGCTTATGGGTCGATATGCCTCATCAAACGAAAATCGGGATAATCAAAATCTGTTGTTTCATTCATGGCTCTCACTCTCACAACGGGGCAGATACATTGGCACCGGGTGGCCCTATACGGCACCAAGCCCTCATTTCTTCAATCTGTGCTCTCATTCCCTGGACCAGCACCTCAACCGAGCCGTCATTCATGTGTCTGACAAAGCCGACCAGACCAATGCGCATGGCCTGGGTGGTAGCGCCCCCTCTACATGACAGGCGTGCAGTGCATGAGATCGAGTGAGTTAATGAATAAGAGTGGGGTGTGAACCGCTTCGGTGACTGGCGTGGGTGTAGTTTCACTCATCAGAAGTCTATTTCCTGGAATTGTCGCCAATGGTATGGAGCGTGGCAGTGTAGTTCTGCGGGGGAGCCGGTTCTTCAGCTCGACATCGACGACGAAAAAAGTCGCTCATTGCCTGAGAGGGCTTTTCTCTTGACTTGGGATGGATCTGTGGGTCGTTTTCCGCAGCAGTCCGGTCGAAGCGTTCACGTTAGCCATGAGACGTTTGTGAGCCGAGACAGGCTCCGTAGATATGTGCGCCTTTTTCCCGCCTCAGCAACCTTGACCTCGGATCTAGCGCTCCATGAGCGATGAAATAAGGACGGATATGAAGTACCCATGCTGTGAGGTGGGCACGTATGCGGTATTTGTGGATCAACCAAAAGCCCTGATCCAGAGCCCGTCTGCAGTGTTTTTAACGAAAACAAGATCAGCCTTCACTTCGCAATAGTTGTGCGCATACTGTACCCAAGGGTACCGTGGAAATACTGCTCTGTAGACCGGGCATCAAACTGGGGTCGTTTGTGTCGCCGCATGTCTAAAAACATTAGCAAACGAGTGCCACCCAGCTTACAAGGCTACAGTACAGTACTGAAGCCTACAGTACATCGGAGCCCCTATCTGTCGATGGAGTGGAGCCGGCCACTCTGTACAGTATCTATACAGTACCTGTACAGTACCGGACACCACTCTATTTTCGCCTTTCGGCTCGTGGCTTTCAGCCACGAGCGCCGCCGTCCGATTATATACCTGCGACTACCACCTCTCTCGATCTAGCGAGGGCAAGAGGGAACTAAGTAAAGACTGACCATCGTCACTTTACTTTTACCTGCGCCGAAGCGTAGAGCCTCGATCCCCCACGCGTCTCTACACTTACCACCGCTTCCGCTACCTGACAACGTCTTCCCTCGTCTCAGCTTGGACTGAGATCGCGCTGTCAGCCCAGACCCTCGTGTGCAGCGACAATCCGGATTTGCTGTTACACGATTCTGGAAAATGACGACTAGATCGCAGAGCTCCAAACGCCCGGTCGATCCAAGTCTCGAACATGCCGAAAAAAGGAAGGCTCAACACGAAAAGCTAATACGTCGATGTACCACCTTTTCATCGAAATCCGACATCGGCAAGCAGCTTATCGAAGCTGCCAAATCTGTTTTGGAATGCTATCCCCCTGACGAAGAAGAGGACAAAGAAATCATATCTGAACATATTACTTCTTTGGTTCCCACGAACGGCTCTTTTTTTCGACAAAATACTTCAGCGAACCTTGCTTCCCTGTGATGGTTCTCCGACAAGTTTCCGAATTTTATGAGGTGTTGACCGTTCCGAACGAGATGATGAAAAATTTTGACCCAACCGTTCGAGCTGACAAGACACTGATGAACCATATTTGGCTTGGTAATGCCTTGAAGCTGCCTATTGAGTCACTCCATGACATTTTGGTGGCATATCGCTGTCATAATGTCATCAAAATTCTGACGAATATCGCCAAACACGTCCCGGTTGAAAAAGAAGCAGAGAACTACAAAGCGGATACTATCAATATCAGCTCTTCCAAATTTCAGACCGACACTACGCCTCCTAGGCTGGATGATCCGCAAGAAACGTCTAAAAAATTGAGCCGTACTATTTCACCAAACCGAGAGAATATCGGACCTCCTTTTTCACAAGAAGAGCCTCAGATCGCCCAACACGTAACCTATGACGACCCGAAAAAGGCAACAGGGGTGCATCAGTACTTTCGTCACAGCTAATTCTCTGGAAAAATATCGGAATCTATCCACTTCACGATAAGGGACTACAACATTTGTGCGATGCAACAGCAGTTTTCACCGGTACAAAAGGCATCCTTTTTCATAAATGCGTTTTCTGGTCCAGCTCGGACTCATTTTTTCCAAAACGCAGACCACAATATGAACTATGACACACTTTGCGAATTGATGAGACAAGAGTATGACTCGGATGGGCGCCAACTCGCTGTGCAGTCTGAATTGGAAAAACTAAGAATCGAGAAGTTCATGTCTGAAAAAGAGATTACAACGACTTCCCACGGCCTGACGTCGCTAGTTGATCATATTAACTCCTTGGCCCCGCAATGCCCGAAACAATTTCGACATGATTCTAACAAGACAAGGTTCCTCAGAGCAGCAGTCGTGGGACACCCTTGGGCATCCCGCGCAATAAGCCAGATCACAACCCTGAAATTTACGTTTCACATCTTTGTCACGGCCTTGCAAGAAGGTATTCAGTTGCATGAAGAAGATTCCAAGCATGACACTTCAACTTTGCTACCAACCAATCACCAAAGATATGGACGCGAACCACCTCGTCGTGATTTCAACCGTTCCATTGGACGATCTTTCCATCCCAAGAAAACCCCGATCGGTAGGGACAACAAAATTTTACGCTGCAGTAACTGCGGAGCTGATGATCATCTTCGCCGCAATTGCCGCACTGGAAATGTGATGTCAAGAATCCAAAGCCGTATTCGCAATGGCGTTCCAGCTGTGCATGTCGTACAAGAAATTGCTGCCGATCTGCAAGAAATTCTGGATTGGAAAACCACGACCGCTACCGCTGAAGAAACTCATCACTCACGACACACTGCCGACGATGATGCAGATCATTCTGCACAGGTGAGCGAATCTGAAGACGAGAGTAAAAAGCTCATGCTTAATGAGTCCGACGTGCACCTTCTGCACGAACTGGAATCCAATCAAGCAGTGAACACGCTCTCCGGAGACCTCCATCAATTCTCTGAAGAACATTATTTTCATTGAGGCGACGAGGACATCCTCCCAGTCATCGTCGCCCCAATTCATCTCGCATTGGCCATTGCACAGCCGTAAAACGTCGCAAACCTACAGACACGTACTGCGTTGTCTCTCAGGTCTTCGTATCATCCCTGACATCACCGCAAGTGGCAAACCCAGGTTTTTGCATTGATACGGGAGCACCGACCTCTGTCATCGGCCTACCCGAACTGAGGCGTATCTTTGCGAAAAACAAACTGAAGTCCCCGCACCTACGCAAGTCTCCAAAGAAATTCAAATTCGCCGATGCAGTCTTCCAGTCACTCGGGCTAGTCGATTTACCTCTGGCCACGCCCTCAGGTATACCTCCTATCTACATCTCACTGGATGTTGTGACAGCTGACGTTCCCGCACTCATGGGCCTTGACGTCATGGACCAGCAGTCCCTAACGCCGAATACCGTGACTAATGAACTGCACAAGTGCGTTGTTTTGCAATCGCGAACACAACACGTTTCCGCGCTCACTGACACGCTGTGGAGCGTTCCCCTTCAACGATATGCACAACACATCTACGCCCCAATGTCCCTTGCGACCTCTTGCCATTTTTCTCAAACACAACTCCGAAAGTTGCATCAGCAGTTTTGTCACCCATCCGCTGACAAACTCCACAAACTACTGAAGAAGACAAGACCAGAAGACTTGGACGCCTCCACTTTGGACACTCTCAAAGATCTGACACGCCGTTGCGATCCATGCCAGCGAATACAAGCCGCCCCAACCCGCTTCAAAGTATCTTTCGGTTCTGAGAACGTAAAATTCAACGACAGACTCATAATCGACATCATGTATCTCAACAACCGACCGGTGCTCCATCTTGTTGACGAAGGAACGCACTTCAGTGCCGCCAAATTTGTACCGGACGTGCCAACCAAAACACTTTGGGCCACCATCCTTGAGTGCTGGGCGACTGTGTACACCGGCCTACCGCACAAGATTCTTGTTGATCAGGGATCTGCTTTTGGAGAACTCTTCGCCAGCATCGGAGCGTCGAGCAAGGTCGAAGTTCAGCGCACAGGTATTCGAGCACACTCCAGTCTTGGTATTGGAGAGCGGTACCACCAGCCTCTCCGATCTACATTTCGGAAACTACGAATTGACCACCCGACCATTTCCGCGTCAACGCTCCTCTCAATGGCTGTGAAAGCAATGAATGACACCCTCGGACCCGAAGGCATCGTCCCATCCGCGCTCGTCTTTGGCGAATATCCATCAACGAAGACTCTGTCAGAAGTGGCAGACCCACGCGCATCTCTTGAAAGTCGTGCTAGAGTTGCCACTACTGCACGTAAGCAGATGGAACAAGAAATGGCTAAGCTACGGGTACAACGCGCTCTCCGGCATCGAGTTCCAAGAGCTACGAACTACGTTTTCGAAGTTGGACAGCACGTGCTACTATGGCGTGAGAAGTTAGTCGAGAACCGCATTGGAGAGTGGATCGGGCCGTTTCCAATTTTGGCTCTTGACCGAGAAAAGAAACAAGTCTTCCTCCAAGACAGCAAAATAGGAGCGGCTCGTCCGTTCAGTCAAGGCATGGTGAAACCTTACCTGAGTCCTGATGACGCATCCCGTGTCCTATTCCAACATCTTGGACACTCTTTGTCTTCTCGATATAGTCACCACACGCTCTTGACAGAAGTCTTGAAAAGAGGAGACCCACGTTGCCTTAGCCCGCAAATGTCAACTGCCAAGCGCACGGAAATACATCAGCTCATGAAAAGAGGCACATTCAAAGTCATTTTCAAAGAAGAAATTCCTCCCAATGCCAACGTCCTATCCGCGCGTTTCGTGTTATCAATTAAGTCCACAGTTGATGATAAGGTGAAATGGAAAGCTCGTTACGTTGCCGGTGGACACAGGGATAAGCTCAAAAAGCTTCTCGTGCACTCGTCGCAATCTGCACAACCCTCTACCGTACGTCTCGTTATAGCATTGGCCGCGATCTACGGCTTCAAGGTTTGGTCCTCCGACGTAACACAAGCGTATCTACAATCTTCAAAGCCCCTCGCTCGCAAAATATACATTCGTAATGCCGCCCCTGAATTTGAGTTGTCAAACAATGAGGCACTGCTTCTCCTACGAGGCCTGTATGGCCTTGGGGAATCAGGAGACATGTGGCATGACACCCTAGATGCACACCACCGACAGGATCTCGGCATGGAGACGCTCCGCACTGACCTTGGATGCTACAGTCGCATTACCCAGGGACATCTTGAAGGACTTTCTGCGAACTATGTGGACGATATGCTACGAACTGGAACCCTTGGGTTCCATAAACTCTGCGCCCTCACTGGGAAGCGATTCGAAATGGCCAAGGATCAGAATATACCTTTTCGGTTTACTGGTTTCCTGATATCGAAGGATCAAGCGAATACATTGCAACTTGACCAAGTAGAATACGCCAGACAGCTTCGAATGCTCCCGGACGACTGTCATTTCTCCGCATTTGCGTCTGTTTGAATGAAGCTAATGTGGCTTTCGCATACTCGACCGGATTGCATATTCGAAATATCGCAACTCACGCAGATTACGAGAGAACATTTTATGGAAGAACGTCAAACAATTGTCAAGAATAAAAACCGGGTAATCAAGTACTCTACAGATCAAACTGTGAGGATTAGGTTCCCAAACTTGCAAAAGAACACAATCAAAGTCGTAGGATACTCTGATGCATCTTTTGCCTCTAATCGTGACCACACGTCACAGCTCGGATATATTGTTTTTCTCGCCGATGCGTCCTCTAATGTCGTACCAGTCATGTACAAGTCCTACAAGGCTAGACGTGTTACAAGATCGGTACTCGCAGCCGAGCTAATTGCATTTAGCGATTTGTTCGATGCATCGTATACACTGACGAAAGAATTGGAGAAGCTCCTTGGAAGGAAAAAGGTTGCTGTACAGTTGCTCACAGACAGCAAGAGCCTCTTCGACATCATCAGCAAAGGAAGCCGCACATCGGAAAAGAGACTAATGCTCGATATTGCTTGCGCGCGCGGATGATACCGCAAGTTCGAGATTGATGATATTAGCTTTGTGCGGTCTGGAGATAATATTGCAGATGGTCTCACAAAAAGGATGAAACAAAGCAGTTTATTGAAAGTGCTAACTACATCTACATTAGAGATCAAACCGGAACAATGGATTGTCAGAGAGACCATCTCAGACACCCTCGCCATTAGAATTTCTCAGATGCCCGACTCTGTGTAACTTGCATCACGCACTAATGTGCATTGTGAGCTCGGGTGATCAGCTTTTAATGCCAGAGAGTGCCCCTCCAGGTATAAAACCCTCGTGAACTTATCAGGCGGGACTAGTTAAGGCAAGCTTTCACACCACGTCGACACAGAGCCGTCACCCCGAAGGATGATTTAAAAGCTAACTGGAGCTTAAGCATGAGAATCCAAGTTGGGTCATCAGGCTGTCGAGTGGAAAGAACAAGGCAGGTTGATGAGAAAATATTTGCGCATCGAATTCTGGTCTGCATTTATACTGATATTTTAACGACCATTCAGGTAATTTTTTTCTCATCTGAAATTTGCAGTGCACTTGAAACCGGTTCCGTCATTGCAGAAGTGAACATGGGTACTCATCTTGACTCCTTTTGAGACTCAAAGCGCTAAGGAGTCGCATTTATCGGACGAGATGCAGCGAAAGGGGGGAGTGTCGATGGAGTGGAGCCGGCCACTCTGTACAGTATCTATACAGTACCTGTACAGTACCGGACACCACTCTATTTTCGCCTTTCGGCTCGTGGCTTTCAGCCACGAGCGCCGCCGTCCGATTATATACCTGCGACTACCACCTCTCTCGATCTAGCGAGGGCAAGAGGGAACTAAGTAAAGACTGACCATCGTCACTTTACTTTTACCTGCGCCGAAGCGTAGAGCCTCGATCCCCCACGCGTCTCTACACTCACCACCGCTTCCGCTACCTGACAACGTCTTCCCTCGTCTCAGCTTGGACTGAGATCGCGCTGTCAGCCCAGACCCTCGTGTGCAGCGACACTATCCGAACGCATCTTATCCGCGTCGAGATTACGGCGGCCGCTGAGGGACAGACTCCTACACGTTCCGACGTAATTTGGCAGCGTGCAAGACAACTTCTCACATCATGGAAGTTCACGCCTCTCCACTATCAATACTAGTGGGTAGACCAGTGAGACGACAGAAGAGAAGCGAAAATGAGAACTGGTTTGAATAACGTATTAATTGCACATTCAGGTTCTTTTAGTTTGACGCTACGCCTATCCCTAAACTGGATTAATGGATGCGAAACGAAGAGCATTATGAACACGGCTTCCTTTAAAGCTACTGTAGTCTGAACTATCGCTTCCGAAATGATACAAGTTGTCCATGTTCGTGATCATCGAATATGACTACTAAAAATGCGATCATCCCACTCTGTGCAAAACTGCATGGGAGGCTTCTTAGAGGCGCTTCTGACTTTCTTCCAAAATCTGGCATCTCATCCAGGTGTCTCGGTTGCGACATCTCGCCATCTTTTGCGTTATGTTGCGCTTGTGACAGGCTTCCGAGGCATTGGCACGGGTGGCATGACACCAGTGGAGGCGCTCTTCAATAAAACATAAACGTTAGCTTCAAGTCATGAACGGAAATAGATGCAAAGACAGGCGCGAAAACTCAAAACCACGTGAGATACCAAAGCACATCCGTTCAGAAAAGAAAGCGTCTCCAGCAGCTTGTAGAAGCAGGCGTCCTGAACACACTGGACGTTAACTGCTAAATCTCTTCCAGAAAAGACGTTCCCTTTTTCAGACTGTCACTACTACGCTACGTGAGCAAGGGGCTGGGAACGATTCTTTTTTCATCCGCTTCAGTATGCACGCCGTGGGATGAGCCCTACAGCACAAAATGGCGGAGCCATTGTTGAGGCATTCGAAGAGGACATCGCATGTCCATCAGCAACAGGAATGAACTGCGAGATCCTGATTGAAGGGTACTGCCTCTGCTGTCGAGACTATCATGATATGGCAGCCTTTTTGAACAGCGTTCCAATCGCGGTCAAAACTCACTCTACGAGCCTTGTATGCAGGACGGCATTGCGGGTCTGTGCAGCCCAGGCTGGGGCATTTGAAGAGGCTCTGGCCAGGCAGAAAGGCGTCGCTCTTGTACGGCTACGTGAACGAAAGACAAAACCTGAGCAGACGGGAACGAAGTGCTCGAACGCTAATGAAGAGAAAGATCCAATTAAGAACTTGTGTACAAGCTATCAGAACACGGGCCACCTCGGAAGCCGCTTGATAAATAGCCGATAAACTGTTGTTTGCAGAACTGTCCTTGGAAGTTTTCGTGTAGCCGTGTTTGATCGGCGATCTGGCTACCCGATAGATCTTCTTGTAATTCTCAAGACTACAGGATGCAAGCGGACGCGTTTCGCGCATTTCTGAGTTCAACTCGGGAAGGATTGAAAGTAGTGCAAATGACCTTGCCTCAGCGACATGCTGTACAGAGGAATAACCATTGAAGTTTTAACTAGACCCGTTCCCTTGAGCCGCAACTCCGGATTCCGCTTCCGATGGCCAGGAAAAAACCGAAGAGCAGACTTCCGCCGACGGAATTCCGAAGCACTAAGCCGGCCTTCTACGTCCAGTCGGAGGTCGGATTGTCCAATTTGTAATAGGTAGCAGAATTGCAGATCATCTTTTGTTCAGTGAACCGGGATTTAAAACTACTAGACGACAGTGACAGTGGACGATGCATCGCACTTACCTGGGAAATAGGAATACCCCGGATCTGGGCCGCTTCGTATGTGCCAAAGACAACACATGCAGCCCCGCCGATAGCCCCTCCAACCATAGCACCCCGTTTCATTTTTTCAAGACAGTCTCGTCGGCCAGCATTGAGAAATACCATGTTGCGGCGAGTACGGGCAAATGAAAGCTTCGTCTCTCCTCTGTGGCTTCCAGGGACTCTGAGCAATGCTTTCACACCAGTAACACCGCCAATAATCCGACTAGGGGCTAGTAAGAATCACAGGGTGAGATAAGCAATCGAGATACTATTGAAGGCTGTGCTTGTGGCCCTGTTCAGATTGGTAACAGGAACGAGATCAGCTCCTTCTCCCGGATCAAAACGGCTGCCGTGGTGCGAAAGGGGATTTATAAATAAGAGCATCTGAGCGGCAGCTTGGAAAATTAAAATAAAAGAGGTGCTTACGCTACAGTGCTATAGACATTCACGACAAGACCAAAACAGCTTCTATCCTCCTTTTCGCAGAGCGTAACGTCGCGATCAATGTCGCGACGGATTGACAATGAAGTCTTCAACCAAGACGTGCGGCCAGAGACGGCTTTTGACAGAAACGAAATAACAGGAACGCTATGCCTGAAATCCTATCTTGTATTTGTGAGTGTCCGCAAAGTGATCGCTTGATCTATCTTGGACGAAATGACCCCGGTCTACCTGCCACGTAAGAAGTACGGAGCTGTCCCTACGCTTCTATATGAAACATTTTCTTGAAGGCAGGCTAGTCCTGTGGCATTGCATAAGTGGTTAACGACTCTAATTGGCAGTTTCTTCACTCGAGTATTTCTGTCACCGCTTGAAGCCTGAAAGAGACGTCTGCAATAGCGGTAGTAGCGCGACTGAGAGCACCCTTTGCCTCGAAGAAGTGAAGGTTGAAAGTGGAGAACTCGGCCTTCAATTTCTCGATTTCCTGCTTGTTGAGAGCCACGTCGCTCGGCGGTCGCTTCGTCGCAGCCTCAGAAGAAGATTCTCCACGTGAGAGGACTGCGGCGTTCAATCTAATGGTTTTCTCCATGTTTTTCGCAGCGATTCGTTCGCTGATTACATCCTCCGCAGAATCAATGACTGACTTCGGGTACTCCCCGTTAAAGTCCGTAATCTTTCTTGCTCGTCGCCATCCAGTTGGCACTTTTCCTTCTTTCCATGATAGCAAAAACGACTGAGCCGCCATGAAGCGTTTCGCCGCAGCCAAATTGTTATCCTTTGAATACTCCTCATTCTCAGAACACTCCCATGGTTCCTGTTCATTCCACTCCGTCATCCGCACAATCTTCTCGACATCGTCAAGTTGTTCTGATGCCATTTCGGTCAAGTGTTCTATGGCTAGAGCGAGCAGAGGGCTTTGGTGCGGTCGATACTGATGCTCGTGAACAGAAGTGCAAAAGGCTGTGGTCAGATTTCAATTTCGAATTATTGTCAAGTTTGCAGCATGTGCTGCATAGAAACGACACAAGCAAATATCAATATTTGTACAACTGTACAACAGCGGAAATAAATTGGGCCATTACGATAGAAGCCCGGCGTGGCAACGTAGCGGATTTCCACGGCCTTTTTGTTACAGTAGTGGTCTCACAACAACATACGCACTTACTCCGTAGATACAAATGACGTGAAGTGTGGCGAACTTTCATTGCCGACCTCTAGTCATGAGGAAATGGATTTTAAGCGGTGACACAAAGTTATACGGTATTACTTGTAAAGCCCCGTTTCTTTTACACAGACTTGTCGTTTCATGTAGTCGCGCGGAAGGGTGGAAGGAGACCGTTCTAGAGTGCAGTTTACTTTGTTGTACCGGATTTGCACGTCTACGTGACTAGAAGTACGTCGCTCCTACTGTGCATCCACCCTCAGACTCCCAAAGTACGAAAGTCGCGCATCGGCACTGCTCAATAGACTTTGCACTGCCTTTCGCCTCTCCTGACATGTGTCAAAACCATGCAGAAGGACACTCTATTGCAAGCGTCACTTTTATCCTCCAGACGATTGATTTGCGTCATCCTTGATTTGTTTTCGCTTCTGCTGAGCCCTCTTGCGATCCCATGCAAATCCATACCCACTGCCGCCAACTTTTGGTAAACTGCTTTTTTGCAAAGCACTTCGCCGAGCTTTGGCGACTTGCAAAATATCAACAACCGCGGGTTCAGTCCCACTCGGTTGTCGATCCGCATCGTCACCCGCGGAAGACGAGTTGCCAGCACCACCGCTGGCTCTGATATCTGGGATGTCGTTCGTGGTAAGAATTGTTCTTTTCGGTGGGGATGCTGGCCGACGTCCGTTCCCTTTCCCGGGACCCCGCTTTTTCCCCCCGCCATTGTGAGCATTTGCAGATACTCCTCCCCACACCGCACCAACCCTCATCGCGACATCTGGATTCGGAGCGTTACTGCTGCTGCTGCCAGCGCCATCTGCAACGCGATTTGCTCTTCCTGAAGCCGATGCTGGAGCTGAATTTCCCACAGGGCCTAGCGCCGGGAACGAACCAGAGGAGAAGTGCGGCCCTGGAGCATTGTTAGCCCCCCGAACTGCGGAGATTCCCTGCTGTTGACCTATTCTGGCGTGCGAAGGCGGTGCTTTTAACAAAACCGAAACTGCTGTCTTGGCGTTGGCAGGCTGTGCTGGTTGCCTCATGGTCTGTGGTGCAGATTGTCGCGTTGGAATAATGTCCACCGGTCTGGCCGCCTGGGTTGAAGAAGACGAGGAGGCGTTTCCTTGGGGTTTGTTCACGCGGCCGAGTCGCGGAAAAGCTTCAGGCCCCGGCATTCCGAAGCGCCTTACCGGCTTTGGCGCGGCCCGCGGAACAGGTGCCCCGGTCAAGGAAGGGAATTGTTCATCTTCGCCTGTCGCCGCATTGGCAGCGTCACTAGGTCCTGCGCTATTGCCAGAGTAACTAAGTTTCGTGTCTGTTTTCCTGTAGCAAACTTGCCTCAAAGGCTCTCTGAGCACCAGCTCAGGAAGCAAGGCGACCAACTCCGGTAAAATATCTCTGACGGCAGATCGGACTCCGAAAGCATCTGTAGCCGCCTCGAAGTACGCCTCTGCGGATATCTGGCCACTCTGAAATTGACCGGACGATAATCGAAACTGTTCATACGCCGCTGGGTCAACCAATGACCTCATCGTCTTGGTTAGAAGAAGTTTCCGGGCTTCCCTTTCTTCTTCGTCCTGGGGCTGATCAAGCTCGTGGAAGTGACCGTCGTCTGGTCTTCGAACTTGTACGGGAGCACTCCTTGCGTTGGTTGAGGAACGAGCACTAGATGCAGATGGGCGTGAGCCTGGTCCCGAGCGTGACGCTGCGGTGCTTTGCGTTTCCTCGATGGGCGCCGGGACAGGACTATCGCCAAAGTTGAGAGCGCCGGAAAAGACGACATTTGACGACAAAAACGCTCGTCGACGTGCCGCCTGTCTTGTTTGTTCTCGCCGGAGATCCTGTGGCGTGTCCGCACGTCTTCGGCGAGGGTCACGCTCTCCGTGCAGTTGTTGCAAGTTGACGGTGAGAGCACGAGGGCGTGCACCACGTGTATTGTCACTGTGCCTCGTATGCTCATGCGCTTGAAGCTCAATGTGCGTGGCAAAAACCTCACCGCGACAGCCTTCATGAGGACATGTGTAGTGCTCCTTTCTATAGTGCTTTTCCAGTTCTTGGAAGTTGAGGTAGTACTCATGCATTCTGCCGTTGCGCTCGCACATCCTGCAAGCCTCATGCTGTTCCTGCAAGTGTGCGTACAACTTCTCATCGTCCAAATAGTACCGCCGACAGAACCTACATTGCGGATGATTTTTCCTCAAATGATCCTTCAACCTGGAGCTAAACTTCTTATGCGCATCCAAAGGGTACAACTGGATCTCCGACACAAAGTTCTTCTTCCCTGAAAAGCACGTTTCGCAATACAAGGCGTTATGCTCCGTTTTCGCATGGGCCCTAAGCTGGGTCGCATTTGCAAACACAGATTCCTGCCCCCCCTTCGCATTGCAATGCTTATGCGAGCACTTCCAGCCTCGAAAGTTCTTCAGTTGCTGATGTCTCGTCCTTTCAATGAACCACATCTGGACAGGCTTATCCTGAAAGGCGCCGGGGAGCGCAACGGCATCATCAAACGACATGCCCTCGTGGTAGACACGCACTGGCACGACGACGACCTGACGCAAGTCGACCTGGCACATGACGCATGCCTTGCGGTCGTAGAGGACGCGCATGCGATGCGAGCAGTCCCCGCACACGACATGCGGGCAGTTGCCGACCGCCCAGTCGCGCGCGACGTTGGCGCAGATGGTACACACGCTACCCGCGGGCTCTTCGACGGCGGGCTGGGCGGTGGTGCCGGTTACGGCGGGCTTGTGAGCGGCAGCCCTACGGTTCGGGGCGCGGCGCGGACGAGAAGCAGAGGTGGCGGGCGGGCGCGATGAAGGGGGGTGGGTTGGATTGGAGGGGGCGTTGGCGGACGCAGAAGAGTTGTCGTTTCGGCGGCGGGGTTGGTTCGGAGCCATTGCGCGAGTGGGTTGGAGTTAGGGGGTTACGAGGGATTTGCTGGGAAGCAGTTAGGCGTAAATAGAGTTAGTGGGGTGAGTGGAGAGGCACAGGTCGGGTTGTGTGGGTTCACGGGAAGGGGAGGAGCTCTGATGGCGAAGGTGGATGGGCAGTTGTGCAAATGGCTTCGGCCTGCCAAAAGTACATCGTGCTTTAGGTGGTGCGCCGCTGGCGCCAGCGCAATGGACTAAAAGCGCTGCGGCCTCCAAAGTCGTAGGCGCCAGTTGGCGTGACGCGATGCCTGCGGAATGCCAACGTGAGGATGTGGCCCAAGAAAAAACGAAAATACTAGATTCGACAAATTCTAATTTAGTACTGCGCTTGTGGCGCAATACGCAGTGCAGACATGCCCAGCCCTGAGTGGTTTTGAGGCGAAATGCAAATGCAAAGCGCATGGCGATGAGCTATGGAAACTTGACGAGTGTGTCCTCGTAGCGTCCGTGCGGCCGTGCGGCAGAGGAGATAGCGTGGAAAGAGCGGAAACAGATGCATGTGGGATGCGGCTTATCCAAAAACGGGCTGCAGCTGTTGGGAATTTGTGATTCAGGTTGGTTTCGCTTCTGTTGGGAGGGTCGCCTTGGGTTGATGGCGACTGGCCGTAGCCCTACCGCCGATGACAATGTCGAATGGTAATTCACTCTTGGGTGAGGATGAATGGACCACGCATCTTTACAGAAAACGGTTCGGTGCTTAATCACGGGGTCTGTTCTCTCCGCAGCCTCTGCCGCCGAGTGGAAATTGTTGTTTGAGAAGCGGAAAGGGCAAGTGATGAGCATGTAGCGCGCTTAGTGAATAACGTTGATGCCTATTCCCCACGGGCCAAATATGTTTAGTTGGCGTGCACGACCCTCACAGTCCTTCGACACTCTGCGCGCCATGCGGGCCAGAATCTATCCGCATCGAGAAAGATGGGTTATCGGAGTATGGCGTGTGCATCCCGCATGGCGGCGGGAGAAAGACGTCACTTGTGTGTTCGTGATGAAAAATGTGAAAGCGATGAAAAGATCGGAAGGACGCGCAACTGTACTCAGATTGGCAAGTTAATGGCGCCATCGAAAACCCGCAGGAAGTGAACGAAGGCACTTTCTGCGTTTTCTCGGAAACGGTAAATGTACATTCCTATCTGCAGAATCTAGAAGATACCCTTTGCACAGCCAAATTGGCTTGCATCTTCTCCACTCGACTCTGCGAGCGGCGGCTACTCCCGTGCATATGTCCTCGGGGAGTTAATGGCAAGGGCCCTTGGGGCGTACAGTGTCACCGAGAAGCAGAAGAAGTATTTCCACCTGTAAGTACCTGGAGGCTTGATTTTCATATCTTACAGCTCCCGAAGGCAACAGCAAAGACGAATGAGGAAGGCTAATCCCTTTTTCCGGAAAGGGATACAGTATACAGTGGGTAAGATAGGGCAGTATCAGCGACACACATCGAGACTACTAAATGTAATCTTAGTGAGTCGAGTGCATAGAAAGGCCCCGTATGTCCCCACCTCAAAAAAGGAGATAGAGCGTGGCGAGACTTGGTCTAGATGTGGGGTTGCAATGTCTGGGTACAGTACAACCTCTTGTCGTCATCGTCAGCGCCCAGCAGACACCCTGTACGATCACCAGATACGATTGCCGACATGTGCACACTGCTACTCGTGACAATCAAAGCAACGAGTGCATGTGCAAGGCAGCGCCAGCTATCCCCGCTCCTTGTGATGCCCAGAGCCCCGCTGGCTACACCGCTCGCATATGTTGTACATCTAACTAACCAAGAAGCAACAAGTGGCGGGAGCAGAGCCGAAAACCTCACTCTCCCTTGCTACACGCGCGTTTCAAGCTCCTGCCCCCGAAAATCCGCGCATACAAAAGATCGAAAATCCAATCGGCACTGTCCCGTGAACTACTCAGAACAGCCAATGGTTTGGCCATGAACAATGTGGCGGCGGGCCACGTCCAAACGACCGGCTCATAATGCTCACCAGGCGCAGCGTGAGATTCCTGTACACCAGTCTACTGCCATTCGCGGCTCAGGTTGCATCGCCACTCAACGCCCATCAAATATCCCCCTTCCGCTGCCGAAGCGCATGCGCCTGTCAGTGTGCCGTGGAGATACACAAAGAGCCAAACAGTGGCTCCCTCGCCGTTTTCAGCCTCATGATTCGGACCTCCCTCGACCACCGCACCTCGACTTTTTCCCATCTTTTCTCAGCACAAACATCTACATAAGGTTTAAGTCATCCCTCTGCCCATCCTTGTCCCTTTTGACTCCGCAGAATCGTCATTAGTCTTCACTTTACCCTCGTCTCGAAACGAACCCTCTCTTCGAAGACCAAGGCCGCTTCTCTCTTGTCCCAACCATCCTCTATTGTTTCGAGTTCCCCCGAACAACGATAGAACCCAATGGCCGCCCTCCGCTCCCTCGCCTCCGTCGGGCGTCGCGCCGGGCTCCTTGTCGCCCCTAGGGTATCTAGCTTTGCCAACTCGCTTCCGGCGTCTTCCTCCTACGCCTCGTCATTCTTCTCGCGATCCGTCCCGACGCGTTCATCCTTTTCCAACTTGTCCCAATACGCTCGCACCTTCTCCGCTGTCCCGGAGCTCTTCAGCGCCACGGACTCCTTCGCGAATAGGCATAACAACACCTCGAGGGACGTGTCAGAAATGCTTGCGTTCCTCGGCTTGCAGGACATCAATCAGCTCATCGACCAGACTGTTCCGTCTTCCATTCGCAACAATCGCGACTTAGAGGTAGGCCCGGCCCTTTCCGAGACCGAGGCTTTAGCCAAACTCAAGGCAATGGCTAGCAAGAACAAGCTCTACCAGAACCATATCGGCATGGGCTACCATGGCACTCTCACCCCACATGTCATCCTCCGCAATATTTTGGAGAACCCTGGATGGTACACCCAATACACACCGTACCAAGCAGAGATTGCCCAGGGCCGGCTTGAGTCCCTGCTCAACTATCAAACTATGGTGGCCGACATCACTGGTCTTCCAGTTGCGAACGCCTCTCTCCTCGATGAGGCCACGGCCGCCGCGGAAGCCATGTCTATGTGCTTCAACATCGCCCGTAGAAAGAAGAAGTCTTTCTTCGTCAGTGAGCTCGTTCACCCTCAAACCATCGATCTGGTCAAGACTCGTGCCGAAGGATTTGGTGTGCAGGTCATTGTCGGTGACCACAAGACATATGACGTCGCTGCGAACAAGGACCTTTGCGGTACCCTAATCCAATACCCGGCCACTGATGGATCCATTGATGACTACGAACCATTCATCGCGGCAAGCAAATCTGCTGGTGCCAAGGTTGTCATGGCCACTGATCTTCTCGCTCTCACAACTCTTAAGTCACCCGGCGAGATGGGTGCCGATTTCGCTGTCGGTAACTCCCAGCGCTTTGGTGTTCCGATGGGATACGGAGGCCCTCACGCGGCTTTCTTTGTGACCAAGGAGGAGTTCAAGCGCCAGCTCCCAGGTCGTATTATCGGTATCAGCCGTGATGCCAACGGGGGACCAGCCTTGCGAATGGCCATGCAAACTCGCGAACAGCATATCCGCCGCGACAAGGCCACATCTAACATTTGCACTGCCCAGGCATTGCTTGCCAACATGGCTGCTATGTACGGCATTTACCATGGCCCGGTTGGGCTCAGAAAGATTGCTGCGCGCACGGCTGGCCTTGCTCGCGTTTTCGGTTCCGCAGTTGGAGAGATGGGATTCACCGTTCCATCTGCCAGCCAATACTTCGATACCGTCAAGGTAACTATGGGGTCAGCAGCCGAGGCAGATGCAGTCATGTCAGCCCTGGTAGAAAGTGAAATCAACGGCCGCCGCTTGAATGATACTGAACTGACATTCGCTTTCGATGAGACTCATAGCTTGGAGAGTGTTGAGAAGCTTGCCGGTGTGTTTGCTGCTCAGAGCGGAAAGTCTGTCGATATCGCTGCCATTGCTGAGAAGGAATCATCCGTGTCCACTGACAGTGTATATGGAGAGGCTTCCCGTACTTCTGAATTCATGACTCACCCCATCTTCAACACGAAGCACACTGAGCACGAGCTCTTGCGATACATCAACCGTTTGCAACAAAGGGATCTATCCCTTACACACTCTATGATTGCGTTGGGCTCCTGTACTATGAAGTTGAACGCCACTTCTGAAATGATTCCTGTAACATGGCCGGAAATATGCAGTCCACATCCGTTCTCTCCTCCTGACCAGATGGAGGGCTACTACGAGATGTTTGAGGACCTTCAGAAGGATCTTTCTGACATCACTGGATTTCACACCGTGTGCCTGCAGCCAAATTCTGGAGCGCAAGGTGAATATACCGGACTGCTTGCGATCAAGAAATACCATGAGAGCCGTGGAGACCATCACCGCAACGTCTGCATCATTCCCCTCAGTGCACACGGAACCAATCCAGCCTCGGCAGCGATGCTTGGCATGAAAATCGTGACGGTTTCGTCTGATGAAATGGGCAACGTGAACGTTGCAGAACTGCGAGAGAAGGCGGAGAAGCACAAGGATAATCTTTCATCGCTGATGATCACGTATCCATCCACTCATGGTGTGTTCGAAGATGCCATTAAGGAGGTTTGCGATATCATTCATGACAACGGCGGTCAAGTGTACATGGATGGAGCAAACATGAACGCACAGGTTGGATTGTGCTCTCCTGGAGAGATTGGTGCCGATGTATGCCATCTGAACCTGCATAAGACATTCTGCATCCCTCATGGAGGTGGTGGACCAGGCATGGGACCCATTGGTGTTGCCAAGCAGCTTGCTCCTTTCCTTCCTGACCATCCGGTAATCTCCCCTCCGAATCCTGACAAGGTACACAACAAGGGCATTGAAACAGGGTGCGTCTCAGCTGCACCCTTCGGCTCCTCCGCTATTCTACCAATCTCTTACATGTACATCAAAATGATGGGAACAGATGGACTTCGAGAGGCCACAGAGCAGGCCATTTTGAACGCCAACTACATGGCCAAGCGCCTTGAAGACTCATACGACGTCCTTTACAGGGGAAGCAAGGGCCGAGTGGCTCACGAGTTCATCATCGACATGCGTCCGTTCAAGTCCAACTGTGGCATCTCGGAAACAGATATTGCCAAGAGACTTCAGGACTACGGGTTTCATGCCCCGACTATGAGTTGGCCTGTTTCTGGAACCCTCATGGTGGAACCAACAGAGAGTGAGAGCAAGGAAGAGCTCGATCGGTTCTGTGACGCAATGATCATGATTCGCGAAGAGATCCGTGCCGTGGAGGAAGGTCGTATGGACAAGGAGGACAACCCTCTCAAACATGCACCTCATACAGCTGCGATCGTTTCTGCGGAAGAGTGGGATCGCCAATACCCCCGTGCACTAGGTGCGTTCCCGGCCGCATGGGTCGAAAACCAGAAATTCTGGCCCACAGTGTCCCGCGTCGACGACGTTTTCGGAGATCGTAACCTTATGTGCACTTGCCCTCCGGTCTCTGACTACACTCAAGACGACGATGAGCGCATAGAGAGCGTTGCATAAGATGCGTCGAAAATTTTTTGAGAACAGGCCGACGTGAGCATGAAAAATCTGTGAGCAGTACGGGTTAAATTCGGAGAATAGCGTATGGCTGATGCTACTTCACATTGTATACTAGTCAACGGGCATCGTCTTCTAAATAGTTTGTCGTCTGAAAGCGAGGGAGGTAAAGGAATCAAAATTGACGAAATTTGATCACTTGAGGAGTTAGCGCCTTGTAGGACGAGCGAAGCCTCTTGAGACTTGACAATCTCAAAATCTCCTCTCCTCCGCAAGGATGATATGAATCATATCATATGATGGCCACTGAACTCGCCCAGTTGTCTGACACGAAGCATATGCGCGTAAGCAAAAAAGGTGACGCTGACAATGCTCATTCGAACTAGCCATATTCTACAATACTCCCACTCGAAGTACCCTAGCATATTGACAGTCTCGTGTTGGAACACGTTGCTTGATGGCACTAGCATCGCACGATCATTTATGTATGTCTACCTCCATAGCCCTACGGCCGGCAAAAGTCATGCTTGAATACACAGTACTGAAGGCATCAACGGCTTACGGCCATTGTCCAGCCCTCCGGTACGTATCAGCGATAGCTTCCAAGGATTTGATGTATGCGGCATCCCGTAAAGAGCAGTTCTTTTCCTCGGAGATCTGCAAAACCTGGTCAGTTGCCGCAATCATAGTGTCTTCCAACCCAGAGCGGACATGAGTTTCCTCGTCAGCTCCAAGGACGATATTTTCCTTTTGATCGCCCGACAATGAAATGCCATTGCTTTCCAGAATGCTGGCCAAATGACGGCCGTGGCTTTCCTCGAAACGCTTGGTGAGGCGCCCCAGCCTCATGCCGGTCATGTTTTTGGTCCACTCAACGTACGAACACATCACCTGTACAAGTCAAAGAAACAAAATAAATGTCAGAGGTTCTCCTAAGACAAATACGCCCAAGTTAAAGATAGCCGACTGGAATTAGCTTACACCCATGCTGTTAGCCAAAAGGTCTGGAATGATAACAGTATCGCCCCGCTTGTTCAAAATTTCATCTGCATCAGCTGTAATAGGACCATTGGCTGCTTCGGCGATAATTTTCGCCTTGACAAGATGTACGTTGTCTTTGTGGATGACACTCTCCAGGGCTGCAGGGATCAGGACGTCACAGTCGATCGAGAGGAACATAGAAGGATCGGCAATAATCGATAGAGAAGGGCTCCCCTCGTTCGTGAACCCTTCAATGCAGCCCTTTGTGTCCAGCATGTGCTTCTGAAGAGCTGGGATAGAAATTCCCCTCTCGGGGTCGTACAGGATACCATCCCTTTCAGCGACTGCGATGAACTTTCCTCCGTCTTCGTGAATGAACTTGGCAGACCAGTATCCAACATTTCCGAATCCTTGAAGGACAAACGTCTTGCCTTTCACGCCCGGTGAGGCGATGCCGGTTTTCCGGAGAGCTGAGTCATGGCCGAGAATTGAGCGAATAGCGTAAAATACGCCTAGTCCAGTGGCGCTTTCGCGCCCTCGGATTCCACCATGACCAACAGGCTTTCCAGTCACACACCCAGCTGTGAACATATGACCAGGATTCAGTTGAGAGAATGTGTCCCTGATCCAACTGTGTGATGAACAGAGTGACGAGCAGCATGCAGCAAGAGTGTTATGTTAGTGGGCTGTAGCTAAGGGGAATAGAAGAATAGGTTTCTAATAAGGTGGCAAAGACTGTAAATGACGTACCTCATTTCCTGGGGTCCTGTTCCATAATCAGGGGCGGGGACTATTACGCAAAATGAGGTAAGAAGAGGACTTATGTAAGAATCTGTTTGGTACACAATATCCGCTGGAATTGAACAGACCGACGAAATGTGATGCCATACCATCTTTGCCGCTGCCAATAAGGTTCCTTGCGTGCAGTTCGTGAGTGAATCTCCTCGTAATGCGTTCAATTTCAGTGATGGAATAATCGCGCCTATCAATGCAAACACCACCCTTGGCTCCTCCAAATGGTACCTCGACTGCACCGAGGACGAACGCACAAACAAAGTATAAAACAACAGTGTCAATCGCGCTGTTTGTGAACGCAGCATGGCAGCAAGCGCACGGGGCCGATAAGCGATGGGAATGCTACTTACCAAGCGCGCACTTGAGAGTCATGAGAGCGGCAAGGGCCTTAACCTCCTCCAAGCTGACATCGGCTGCGTAGCGGATGCCGCCCTTCGTGGGGAGGATGTGTGTGGAGTGCTGTGCGCGATAGCCAGTGAGGACCTGTGTGGACTGGTCGTCCCTCCTGATAGGGAACTGGAACTCGACGACGGAGTTGCAGGCGCGGATGATGTCCAGCAGGCCGGGGCTGATGTTGGTGAGGTGGGCCGCGCGCTGGAAGAAGAGGTCTACGCTCTCCAGGAAGGTCTGATGCGGCTCGGGGGCCGGCAGCTCCTCCACGGCCGGCGGCTCCTCCACGGCAGACGCGATGGTCTGCTGGAAGCGGGCGAAGCGGGAGGCAGGGGCACATGACGCAGTAGGCGCGAAACGCGACGCGACGGCGGACAGAGGGTGCGCGACGGACGCTGTGACACGGGGGGCCAGCGCGCCTAGGGCCGGGCGCGCGCGCAGGAGCATATGGGCGTATCGGGAGGACGACATGGTGTGGGTAGGGTTTAGTTGGGACGGTAGTTGGAGTGGAAGGCGAGCTGTGACGGCAATTGGGGGCGGGGGAGGGAGAGGGGGGGAGGTTTATAAGCAGTTGGGACAGACGGCAGCAATTGGGGGGGGGGGGGGGGGGAGGGAGGGGTATGGTGTCAGTAAAGAGGGGAATGCGAGGGGGCGAGTGGAAAGCTCTCAGAAGGTGGGTGGGTGGGCATAGTTTATAGTTCCACGGGGTGTGAGAAGGGAAGGATTAGGGTTGCGGTGACGTGTCAGGGTCCTTCTTCCACAGGCGCAGCGGCAAATGAGGAGGTCGGAGAGACGCGCAGGTCGAAGCGCCGCAGGTATGACATGCGCCGGGCTTTTTGGGACATAACTCCGGGCCCTGGGCAACGCATTGCTGGGGGTTTTATCTCGCGCCCAGATTTCTGCACACACCTCCACGGCGTGGCTGTATTCATGCACAGGCACAGGCACTACACATTCTGTACCGTCTCGCACCCATCCTCCACGCCGGCCCAAAGCCTCCACACCCCCCGGCATTGCTTCGCATACCGCATCGCTTGCGGCGCCTCGCCTCTCGAGCCGCATCTCCCTCCCCCACCTGCAGCACCGCTACATCTAAATTTATGCACACTCCTTGTGGTTGCCCAACGCCCGGCCCGCCGTTCCCTGCTTCCAGAGGCCCAGTGGAAACCCCCCCCCCCGTGCCGCCCGCCGCGCCGCCCCCCATTGGCTGCCACTCCCGCGCCGCCGTGCCACGTCTTCTTTCCATCCATGTCGCCTGCGCCCCGCGCGCAACCCTCTCCGCCGCGCTCCGATGCTAACTGAAACCTGCGCTCCAATGCTAACTGAAGCCGCCCGCGCGTGGCCGCCGCGCTGCGCTCCAAGCTAACGGCGGCTCGCGCGGGGCTGCTTGTCGCAACGCCGCCGTGTGATACAGCGCGGAAATCCCCTAATGCCACCGGCCGAGCAGACGCCGCGCGGCCCCTGACGGCGCCTCGCCGTCGCCCAGTGCGGGGCGGGAAGCAATCTCCGACATGGCGCGCCCCGACAACGCTGCCGCCGCCCGTGTGCTCCCTCAGCGCGCGGGAGACTCGGCTCCACGCCTCCCTCACGTGCTCATTGGATACGGCCCAGTCAAAATTCCCGCGCTGCGTTGCTGGTTGTCTCTCGCTTACCTTGCGCGGCGTACTGTGTCCTCGTCGTACACGTGGCACACGCGGCTGTGGACCCCTACTGACGCGCTGATTCACTCAATGATCCGGTGCGGCGCACACTCGACGACTGACTCCGCTCTGGGATCCATTCGCTCGTTTCCGCTTGCGTCACCCCGATCCCGATCCGGGCATTGGTCGCCGCCGGGAGCCCGTCACCAGCGCTGCACACCTTTCAACAGAATCACCTTGTATACATCCGACCTCCCCGCCCTCCCCGCCCTCCCCGCCCAGTCTTTAGCTTCTCGCCCCCGTCCTTCGCACAGCCACAACTGCATCACCACCATGGGTAAGTGATCCACCGCCACTGCGTCCGACGCACTCCGCTTTCCCTCCGTGCACACGCGTTACCCAACCAGGCTCCAAGCTGCTCCGTCTGATCCGCCAGCGCGCCGCTTCGAAGACCCCCCCCCCCCCCCCCGCTGCAAACCCACGTCGTCCACTCGCGCAGAGCACTGACCAACCTCCACGACCCCTCCCCCTGCGCAGGTAAGGTTCACGGATCGCTCGCACGCGCCGGAAAGGTACGCGGCCAGACGCCGAAGGTCGCGCCGCAGGAGAAGCCAAAAAAGCCCCGCGGCCGCGCCGCCATGCGCCTCAAGTACAACCGTCGCTACGTCAACGCCGTCGTTGGCCCCGGCAAGAAGCGCGGACCCAACTCCTCGGACAAGTAGACGCCTGACTGTTCGCATGGGAAGGGAACGCGAGGACGCGCTGCATGCTGCGCAGGTGCATGTAGGTTACGCGTAGCACAGACGGGTAAACGGCGTGTGTCCTCGCTTTCGAGTTTTGATCGGTGCTTCGCTTCTTTGGTGTCTGCGCTTTGCTTACGTGCCATCCAGTTCGGAGTGTGCGTTCTCATGGCGGGTCATGCGCATTTGTTGAAATCAACACTAAGTTGGTCTATGCTGTCGTGTAGAGGACTAGTTTTTGCTTCCCGGAAACACTCAAACTCGGCTAGTCTTTCACTTTTTACACCTGCATAGCAACGAACATAGCAACTGATACAGGAACGCCTATGCTTCAAGAGTAAAGAGTACCAACGGCATACGACACAACTTTTTATCTCACAGGTTCGATGACAACGATGGCTCAGTGATATTCTTGTGCAAGACACATCCGAGAGGACGCCGTTAGCCCTTGTTCATTACAACACGACATACGCTCCGTAAGCTCACGGAGACGGGGAGTTAATCGCCACAACCTCGGTATCGTGTTTTCTTGACCGAATTCGTTGACGTTTCACTCCCCTTCTCGACCTCGCACCGAAGGCCTCCTCTCCTTCCGACAAGCCGTTGAGAAGGCCATCCCCTAGTGTGTCTTTCACAAGAATATCCGATACTCCGTTCTCATCAGCCCCGTGCGTAAAACTTGACGTGTATAATGCCTCTGATCCAACGTTGGCGCTAACTGGATGACGAACTAGCATTGCTCCATGCCGGTGGGTAAACCCATTTTGAAACCTTCTGGTGCTACTAGCCCACATAGGTGAAGAACCTTCGACGAACACTGCGTCGTCTTCATCCTTAAAAATCTCTCTTCTCGCTCTCGGATACGGTGACACACTCTGCTCTCGAAACGTGACCTCGTTCGAACGCGGACTCTTCAAAAACCGCATCGGCGATCCTGTGTTACGCCTTAGACGTTGTCTTGCCTCTGCCATTTTGATCAGCTGAATGCGGCATTGCTTCATGCTCATGCCAAGACTTGTGCCGAGCTGTTCTAGTTGTGCTGAAGGCACGCCAATATCTGAGTCGAGAGGAGCCTTCAGCTCCTCTATACAATAACTTTGAATGAATTGCCCTAAAGTGGAGACTTGATGACAAGTTAGTTTTGCTTGACTTTCCTTAGTTACGTCAGATGTCGACTGCATTGCAGTCAGGTTAGAGTTCTCGCTGTCTTTTCGCGGCCTCCGTCTTCTTGACCGTGCTGCAATTGCTACATTCAATGCCTCTACTCTTTCCTGTTTGACGGACAGCAGGTCCGGACGAAGGGGAAGTCGCGGTTTTCGTGTCTTTTTCTCGGCGGCGTCCAGTCCTTTCGCGCTTGTATCCGCATGAATCTCCCCCTTCCACATGCTGACGAGGCTCATGGACTTTAGCGAAGAGGTGACATCGGCGACTCGAATTCCGGTCTCTTTTGCTACTTCCTTTGTCGATATCCTTCCCATGTCCTCTTTGCTACGCAGAAATTGAGTTATCGTATGGGCCCAGTAACTACGGTACGAAAGCTGTCCAAGGTCGGAAAGGGGGCGTTCAGGAGACGCGGTTTTACCCTCCCTCTTCGTCAACTCGTAACTCAAAGATATCAAAAATCTTCCAACACCCTTACGTTGGTGCTGTGGAAGTGTCAAAATGCATGCCAGATTGAAGTCGGAATGACAAGCGGGCTTCTCCTTGGAGAAGAACCCAGCCATCACATCCTCTATTGTTACGATATAGAACAGAAAGGGGCTGACGTCAAAATACAAGGTCTTGTGGTCTAGAAAAAGCTTGCCCAGTAGGCACAGTCGTTGGCAGTAGTCATTGCTAACTTGACCATCCAATTCGTAGACGGCAACTTGCCGCGACGAGTCTTCGTAGATGAGCAGACCCGGGGGTCCGATCCACGTGCACGCGGTACAATGCTTGACATAAGACCGCTCTGATCGAGTGTACTTGAGACAATAACGGCAAATGTAGAGCTTGTCGACTTCTCCATACTTGCCAGGATACGGTGAGTAGTACCATGCATCAATATGATCCTCACCAAGGACAATGGAAGAAATATTCCTGACCTTTGTCATTTCCTCGCGCGCCTTCTCCAAGCGGGCCGCAGCCTCGCTGCCAACCTCCCTCTCACTCACCGGATTGATCTCCTCGTACTGCCTCCGCCTGGCCCTGGTGAGCTTGAGCGTGTGCCTCTTGCCGGTCTCGGCGACGGCAAACTCTGCCTGGACGGCATTGTCGACGAGGGTGTTATCGACGACACTAGACGCGGCCTCCGCCACAGCTGACTCAGTGGCACGACGCAACTCGGCGGCGTGGACCCATCGGTCGAGGCGTCTGTCGCGGCCGGAGAAGTGGACGTAGACGCGGCCGACACGGATGGGATGCGGGGCGGGAGCGGCGGAGGGCTTGATATGTGTGTCCTCTACAAAGGCCTCGACGGCCGGTGGGAGCGGGGAGACCTCGTGGTTTCTGCGCTTCTTGGTCCTCTGCGAGGCGGGCCTCTGCGGGGTGTCAAACGAGACGGAGGGTGACTTGGAGTCGGCGGCCTCCCTGAAACGAAGTTTTGGGGAGGTGGTGGTGGAGTCGTGCAGCCTGTTGGGGTAGGGATGGAGAGCGTCGAGGAGGGTAGAGCGGCGAGAGGAGGGGTAGGGTGTGCGGCGGTTTGCGCTGCGAAAGGGCGATTGGTGGTTTGAGGCAGCGAGTTGGGACTGTTCGAAACGTGCGATAGCGGCCTTGTATTGAGGATCGAGGGAAACGACTACGGCATCGATTGGAGGGGTGGCGGAGGCGGCAACGACGGTACACAAGACGTGTTCGCCCTC